ATGCTACTAGTTGAACTCAATATTTCGTGAGAGATGGGTGAGCCCAACTCCATATTTGGTTCTAAGTCGTTTTCAACAATTCTATCACCCCCCAGGTTGTTCCTAAAGCTTCTAAAACTCTTCTAAACTTCATACCTATTATTAGAACTCATAAAAAACTCAAAATGGAACCAAAATCGTAAACACCCACACTTGAAAAATTGCTATATCCACCCAACCCGAAAATGAAAATTCAAACTCTTCCAATTCAATTTCCCTAATCACTCAAGTGACTCAAAATACTCTTCAAGGGACTAGAATCACACAAACACAATGTTAAAAAATCAAAATTGACTCGCCTTGGCGATTTTTCTTCTCTTCCTCCTATTCTACATTCTCTTCCTCAACCAACTCTCATCTCCTTCATCCTACAATCTTATCTTTGCTTAAGAAATCATCACACTTGGCCTAAACTAGATGATTCATCTCTAATAGGTGAACAACTCACCCCTAATTGAGATCAATATCAAATTTTGAAGGGAATGTATAAGGGAAGGGGGGAAGAATGAAGGGAAGAGTATGGTTTTGCTTACATGCTGCAGATTCCTTTTTTTTTCTCTTTTTCTTCCCTACAAGGGTATTTTGGTAATTTTCACACATAGGGATATTTTGGTAATTTTGGCCCAAAATTAAAAAACGATTACCTACGTGTTCGTTGAGTCGACTACTATTGTACTACCTAAGAATTATAATGGTCTCACCTCAATTTCTTAAATGTCTTCTGAAAAATTCACAAAATGTTACATAAGGGCATTTTTATCCAACTTGAAATTACACACTTAATCCAATAGTCTCAATCCAAAATCACTTGATAAAATACCCATAATCATTCTTCACTGTAATATTATTATTTTTCACTGAAATACGAAAATCCACCTTTAATTTTTTTGGGGTATTACAAATGGGCTTCGTGAACTCGTAACCATCCATACCACAATCCGCTCAGCAAGCCCCATGAATTCGGGTAGTTTGGGCCCACTTAAGCTTGTAGTGTGGCTTGGTGCCAAGATAAAGGTTTTTCGCTTGGCGTTGTGTGTTATATGGCATGCTTGTGCTCGAGTTTTGCCGTATTGTAATAGGCTATGGCCGGGCCAAATGACACTCGACAGGATAATAAGCGCGGCTTCATAGAGCCATTACATTTTACGGGCTTGTTACGACCTTTCTGCGTGGCGAGTTATGTATTTGCTTGGTGTGGCACATGGACCATAACTTGTGCAAGTGTACACGACAAACTCTTGCATACCCCAATCGGGCTTCTTCCTTAGTTAAGTATTGTACTGGGCTAACCTAGCTTTGGATTTTTTGGGCCTCAACAAGTCCTAAAGCTTAAAACACTGAAACAAACACAAAAGAAATTAAAAGAACAAGTTTAATTAAAAAAACATAACAAAATCATAAGATAGAAGGGTACAAAATAATATGTAATTATACACCAATCAATAACTGCATGATACTTGAACAACTAATTCTAAATACATGAAATAGGAACCTACTGTCCTCATAAGCAAGAAAATTTTGACAAGTGTGCTTAGGCAATTCCAAATATTAACATTTCCACAACAACATAGATGCCCCAACCCCACACCTGTTGTGTGCATGATATAAGCATACTTTTGTGGCATGGACAGCTTTGATAAAATATCTTATAGCAAGTCAAATGGTTGTTGTTAGACATAGCAATATCATACACAACTCATTAATACGACACAAATTCGTAAAAAAAAAATTAGATTCGGGTCCGAGTTATCATGTCGTGTTGATATCATGTTGACCCGTTAACCACACGTTAAGCTAACGGGTCGTGTCGTGTCAATTCGCAAATATCTGTTAACCTGTTAAGCTCAGGGGCAATTTTGTAAATTTATATCTCTTTCTTTTTTTAATTTCTTTTCTCTCCTTCTCTTTCTTCTCTTTCGTCTCTTTCTCCCCCATTCCCCCTACTCTCTCTCTCTCTCTTTCTCTGCCACCTAGATTCCTAGATTACTCTTTTGAAGTGATAAAAATCAATCACAATTGCAAGGGGAATGACAAGGAAGATGAGCACAGAAGGCTTGTTACCAACAATGGCCTCTTGCAAATCATTGAGCAAACTTGTATGCATTTGGATCTGAACCCTTGATCCAAGACTCCGGTTGGATCTTTTATGAACTAGTATGGAGGCTGATGACGTCATTCTTTGCGGTGTACTACATCCATTAATATTAATCCGCTGCTCCTTATAATAACTTTCTGGTTGATTTTGGGGAGCAGAAGAGAAGAGATGGCAGTGGTGATGGACGACGTTGCACTATGACTGGTTGATTTTTTTAATTGTTTAATATTTCTGTTTTTATTTTTAATACTTAGTTTTTAGTTTTTTTAATTGTTAATAGGTGAAACGAATCGTGTCGTGTGATTCGCGAATTGTAACGTGTCGTGTTCGTGCTTGATATTTTCCACCCGTTTTCTTAACGGGTCGTGTTGTGTCAATCCGTTAAGAAAAGCGGATTGACACAAACACTGCAAACACGACACGAATGCCAAATCTACTTGTTGTGAGAGGCACATAAGTTTGTTATTGACATGCCTAAAAAACAATGATGTGGCCAAGTCCACGGAACAATTCTCACGATGAAGTGGCGTGATTACATCAGTGCAGTGTAGTCAATACATAAAACTTATGATACTTGAATGTCTAATGCAATGTGCATTTATAAGATAGATGGACATCCAAATTTAAAATAAGCACTATGTAAATTAGTGGCATTTAGTTATAAAATCATCAAAGTGAATGAGATAGTACTTATCTCTACGTAGTCCATCCAAGTATAATTTCGCTCATTCTGGCTCCTCTTATTCAAATGCATTGCAAATTGCAAAAAATACTTCGACACTCAAGTAAGTGTTTGTTCAGTGAACTCTCAATGCTCAAATTTTCCGTACCTTTGGTTGAGGCTCTGTTGGGCTTTTCTAACGCTTCAAGCCCTTGGGTTCAACTCCACCTCCCTGGCTTTGCGCATCCCATCCTCCATTTCATAATCGTGGGTAGTCGTTGGTTGGGTTATACCCTCACTACCTCACACTTCTCTAGTGGGAGGGAAGTCCAACTATCCACGTTTTCACTTGCTTTTAATCATGTAAGTTCTGTCATGCCTTTATTCATTAACACTAACCTTGATCCGACATAGCTTCAATAGGTAAGATAGAAATTCTTCTCCAATGCAGTTCTTGAGCTCTCTCTCCAATGGGGTGAGATTTCTGTATGAGTAGGGTAATTGACTGCTAGGGAAGGGACCTCTATTTATATGCATTTACTTAAGTGTCTTGGCCATTAAAAAACACTTAAGTAATCCAGTTTGCATTAGAATTGGTTGTTAATTTTAATCCATATGGAATTAGGAATTCTCAAGTTCTTATTTTCAATTAAAACACTCTTTTAACAAGAACTGCATAATGTTTAAGTCTATACTCCTAGATCAATGTAAACTGCCGAGTCCTTATGCCATTAGAAGATCACAAACATGGTTAAGACAAGATATTATCTTACAAATCGTGCCACATGAATTTGGCCATACTACGTGGGATTTGATTTTCGGTCCCCACAAGTGACAAGGGAACTAAAAACCACCTACAACCATCGATTCCTTTGAAACTTTTCAAATGCTTGGCTCTTAGCTGTTATAATATGGCTGTACTTTGTCCTTTTGTTTTAGTCTTTCAGAATCTTGCTTGGTGCAGTTGCGTGCAATTTGAGCAATCTTTACATGGTCTTCATTATTCCGCGTGAATTAATATTATTATCACCCAACAAATCAAGAGCCTTGCATTTAACAAGTGGTGTTGTAGTTGTCTGCATTTACTAAATATAACACAAACCTCATTTTCGAAGTCTCTAACTTTTCCAGATGGCACACGGTCGTCGGATTCCATCGTAAAAATGATTCTCAAAAAACCTAATAAAAAATAAAAAAGATTCTCGGGGTAAAAAATGATTGTTCATTTCACTCTAACTGATATGTCATATATGATGTGGAAAAATAGCCCGTTTGATAACTACTTTAATTTTAATTTTTAGTTTTAATTTTTTATGGTAGAGTATAAAGGAAAATGAGAATGGGAATGAGAGTGAGGATAAGATTGAGAGAGATGAGAGGATAGGAGGAAAGAGTAACAAAAGTGAAAACAATTTCAAATATATTTCACTTTTTAGTTTTTGTTTTCACTTTTGCTACTCCTTCCCCCCTCCTCCCCTCTCATCTTCCCACGCAAACACTCAGAAAAAAAAAAACACACAAAACACGAAACGAGAGTAGGGTGTATGCATAATAATGAAACATATGTGAAATTGAAATACAATGAGAAAAATGAGGACAACATGACAAGAAATTTCTCTCCATGCACATGTAGTAGTACAAAAATGTGCCCGGTTAAAACCCTTCAGCTTATGGGACTTGTCATTGCCATGGAAGTTAGATTAACTGTGTGCTCCAGATTTCTCTAAAGACTGAACGCACATGCATGCACAGAATGGCAAGAGCCAATAATCTGGAACTTTCGTACCTTTTTCTACTAAGTTCTATTATGATATGAATGAAGCATACCATCACTACAAATATCTCCAAAAAAAATTTAAAACAAAATATTAGCTATTGAGTCACGCAGTTCCTCAAGAAAATAAGTCAAAAGAATTGCCTGAGTCTATCCCTGGAAGAGCCAATAATTGCGAATCATCCCAATTACGTCCCATTCAATCTGGAAATTTCGCACGTTTTTCTATAAACTTCTGTTATGATGATATGAACTGTATATCCCACCTAAATCTGGAAATTAGAATTAATTATGCACTGACACAACACGTTTGTGGCTCATGACTCATCCTTCTCAAGAAAACAAACTATATATATGAGGAGGCCATAGGCCAACCAGTGCCTCAAGAAGAAGAGTCAAAAAAAAAAAAGGATTCTTCTCAAAATCCAACCATGGTCAGAGTTCTTATGCTTCCATGGCTAGCTCACGGTCACATATCTCCCTTCCTAGAGCTAGCCAAGAAGCTCGCCAATAAGAACAATAATTTTTACATATTTATTTGTTCCACACCTGTAAATCTCAGCCCCATCAAACCAAAACTCTCTGAAGAATACTCTCATTGCATTGAATTTGTGGAACTACATCTTCCACATGATGACTTGCCACCTCACTACCACACCACCAATGGCCTCCCTCCCCATCTCATGGCCACTCTCAAAAAGGCCTTTGACATGGCCAGCCCCAACTTCTCCAACATCCTCAAAACCCTAAAGCCGGATTTGCTCATTTACGATTTTCTTCAACCATGGGCACCCTCTCTTGCTTTGTTGCAAAATATTCCAGCCATAGAGTTCAGCATCATGAACGCTGCGCTCTTGAGTTCAGTTTGTGGTCACGATCTCAACAATCCTACTGCCAAATTTCCTTTGCATCTTCGGGATTACGATATTCGAAAGTTCCACAATCAGTGTGAGTTTTCATCAAATGGCATCAAGGATGGAGACCGCATACAGCAATGCTGTGCTCGATCTTGTAAGATCATTTTGGTAAAGACATCTAGAGAGATTGAAGCAAAATATGTTGATTATCTCTCTGATTTAGTGAAGAAGAAGATTGTTCCGGTTGGTCCTCTTGTTCAAGACCCAATGGATCAAACACTTGATAAGGAAACGTGGATCATGAAATGGCTGAACAAAAGAGAGAGGTCTTCAGTTGTGTATGTTTCCTTTGGCAGTGAGTACTTTTTGTCCAAGGAGGAAATAGAAGACATAGCTCATGGGTTAGAGCTTAGCAAAGTGAGCTTTATTTGGGTTATAAGATTTCCTAAGGAAGAGAAAGGTACTAGGGTTGAAGAGGTGTTACCAGAAGGGTTTTCAGAGAGGGTGGGAGAGAAGGGAATGATAGTGGAGGGCTGGGCCCCACAGTCAAAAATATTGGAGCATTATAGTGTCGGTGGGTTTGTGAGTCATTGTGGATGGAGCTCAGTGTTTGAGAGCATCAAGTTTGGTGTTCCAATTATAGCCTTGCCTATGCTTTATGACCAGCCAATCAACGCTAGACTAGTGGAGGAGGTGGGTGTTGGAGTGGAGGTTAAAAGAACAGCTGAAGGCAGTTTCCAAAGTGAAGAGGTAGCAAAGATGATTAGAGATGTGGTGGTGGATAAAATTGGAGAGGGTGTGAGAAAAAAGGCATTGGAATTAAGAGACAACATGAAAAAGAAAGAGGATGAAGAGATAAATGGGGTGGTGGAGGAGTTGATGCAACTTTGCACCAGATAGGAATCAAGCACGACGTTTAGCATATAATTTGCAACTTGTCTAGTCACTACAAAATTAATGTTGGATTTGTCTTCCCTGAGTTTTAAGTGATGTTCGTTTTCTTTGTATGTGTGAGAAAGCAAGTCGGGCTTTTTCTTTGTTATGGTGGTTTGAATCTGAAATCATTGAACTGCAAATTAAAATTCTTTTTCACTCAGCTAGACCGGTTCACATTAAATCTGGAGTTTAAGTATGCAGTTAGACCAAACTGCCTACGTGAAGCTTCCACGTTTCTCTTATCTTCAAACTTTTTGTCGATCATGCCCCGTCTCGTCTCCATCGCTACCCACCTGTCCAGCGACAAAGGAATAAAAAAATTGAATTATTCTCAGCCAAAACTCAACTCCATCAATCCATAACTCTTTGAAAACTGCTCTCTAGCCACTGTCAAAATCATTCCGTGAAGAAAAATTGTTGTCAAATAAAAAATATCTAAAACTGTGGCACTCTTCCCTTTATAGGTCACGTCCTGTAAGTCCATATATTTTTCTTTTGGGATCTTTTAACTCGATCATGATGACAAATTTAACAAAAAATATATATACAGAAAAGGCTTTTTAGGAGATATGGTCCTGAACTTGTACTCATATGAGATTTTAGTCCCTCAACTTCCGAGCATCTGGAACTTACATATGAAATGTTAAGAAGAGGGAGGGGGATTTTCTCACACACACACACTAAAAGTTATCATCGTGTTGGGCTCTTGTGGACAGACCCCATTGACATATCAGGCATACAATTAATACATTACCTTTTAAATAATTATCACATTTTATATTAGACCTAATGTTAACCTCCTATAATATTTTTATAAACACATGCAAGCGATAATAGAGGAGGGGGGAATTAAACCTAGGACCTTGGGTGTAGGGGTAAATTCTCTTAACCACTTGAGTTACAAGACCCTCGTGTCAACTACCTATAATTGACACTTCTTTTTTTCTTCTTCTCTCTTCATCTTCCTACTTCACATGAACCGTGTGCATGTCTTCGTGTCTTCGAATATACCATGATGTAGGTATGTTAAGTATGTTGTACGTATATGGTGTAGGTATGTTGTAATAGGCATGTTGTATGTACATGAATGCTCCCATCATGTAAATTGATACCTATTGTGGAGGTGATGATATATAACCTTGAACACATGTATGTGTTAAAAAATACACGAGTGTTTTTATGGTGCAGGTATGTTATTTGTGCGAATTAATTTTTCATCCTATAAAGTAGGTAGATCGTATGTATTGAGTTTATTATAATGTTTTTAACCTATGTCTAGGTTTATTATTTTGTTTTCCAAAGATATAGGTATTTTATATTATTTGTGTATGCTTATGCATTTAATTGTTTTCTTAAATACTACTTAATTTGTAAATACATTTATGGTTGTTCAAATCTAATTCCTTGTTAGAATTTTGAATAAGTAGTATAAGATGCATTAAACTAGGATTTTTAGTTTACAGTCATATTTATTTCAAAGGGAAAATGGGTAAGAAAAATGATATATAAAAGGACAAATTACATAACACACCCCAAATTATAGGGTCATTTTCAAGTTCATACCCACTTGTAAGGACATTTACGAGTACATACTCAAACCTCCAGAAAACCTACAATTTACCCACTTTGTTATACAAATACTAGTACAAAATAACCCTTGCGCGACCAAATTTTGCGCGACGAAAAACTATTTGTCGCTCAAAGTCACTTTGCGCGATGAAACTCAAAATTTCGTCGCTCAAAACCTTGCGTGACCAACTTTTGCGCGAAAAAAAACAATTCATCGCGCAAAGTCACTTTGCGCGACAAACTTTTGTGCGACAACAATACATCGTTGCTCAAAGTCTTGCGAGACCAAATTTTGCGTGACGAAAAATAATTTGTCGCGCAAAGTGAATTTGCGGGACAAACTTTTGCGCGACGACAATACATTGTCGCTCAATGTGACTTTGCGCGACAAAACAATAAACTTCGTCGCGCAAAGTCCTTATAAAAATAAATAAAATTAAAAAATTATTTTTTAAAATCTTTGCATGGCGTAATCCAAACATTCCGTCGCCTAAACCAATTTATTATTGTTTTTTATTTTGTATGCATAACACTTAAGAAATTAAACGGTATATATATATATATATATTTATTAAGTAGCTTTAAATTTTTTATTTTAGATCGGATCGGATTTTTGTTAGAAAAATATATTATTGTTGTTCGGATTGGGTTTTTGTTAGAAAATATATTTTATAAATTGTCGATTGAATTAGTTCATTGTATTCATATAGGGTCAAGGAGTGTAGTTGTAAAAAATCATCAAAATCGGAGTTAAAATAACCGTTAAATTGTGATTTTTCAGTTATAACCGTCGAAATTTTTTGTCCCATTACTTGATCTCTGAATGTTTATTTTTTCCGATTTTTGGCGTATTAGATCTTGAAGTATAAACAAACAAGTTTGACGGTTGGATCATTGAAACTAGTTTTGTTGAATGCGTATGCCATCAAAACAATATATTCACTAATAATTAAGAGTTTATTTATACTTTCGTTAAATATAACATAAGATTTTGAGGTATCCACTAGTGTAAATATTTTAAATTGAAGATCAAATTCATTCATTATATTCATATAGGGTCAAGGAGTGTAGCTGTAAAAAATCATCAAAATCGGAGTTAAAATAACCGTTAAATCATGATTTTTCATTTATAACCGTCGAAATTTTTTGTCCCGTTACTTGATCTTTGAATGTTTATTTTTTCCGATTTTTGGCGTATATGATCTCGAAATATAAAAAAACAAATTTGATGGTTGAATCATTGAAACTAGTTTTCTTGAATGCGTATGCCATCAAAACAATATATTCACTAACAATTAAGAGTTTATTTATATTTTCGTTAAATATAACATAAGATTTTGTGGTATCAAATAGTGTAAATATTTTAAATTGAAGATCAAATTCAGTCATTGTATTCTTATAGGGTCAAGGAGTGTAGCTGTAAAAAAATCATCAAAATCAGAGTTAAAATAACCGTTAAATCGTGATTTTTCATTTATAACCATCGAAAAGTTTTGTCCCGTTACTAGATCTCTGAATGTTTATTTTTTGCGATTTTTGGGGTATACGATCTTGAAGTATATACAAACAAGTCTAACGGTTGGATCGTTGAATGGTGTGTGTTTATATATATATATTTATTAAGTAGCTTTAAATTTATTTATTTTGTACGTATAACACTTAAGAAATTGAATAGTATATACATTTATTAAGTAGCTTTAACCTTATTTATATTTTAAATCGTAAAATAAAATTATTTTATTTTTTATTATTCATAACAATTATTTTTATAAATATTGTGCTACGAACCAATTTTTCATCTCTCAAAAGTTTGCAATCATCATACCAGGCCCTCCTATCTTCATCAATCGCATTACAGTTTCTCCACGGCCTCATAAGGAGGAAGGTCATCCTCCCCTAGGGTCGGGAAGGAATCTCAGCCACACCATGGCCTTGGCCCACGTCGACTATCCAAGACGAAGGATAGTTGGTGGACAGCAGGAGAGGAAAAACCATCTGGATCAGGCCACGACGCGAGGATCAGCGGATATGGCTCAACCCCAGTTTTGGATAAGCTACAAGGGGGGCCATCAGAGTAGGTTAGAATAGAGGGGAAAGAGTAAAGAAAAATGAAGAAGGCAAGGCTTTTTATATTGGCGCTAGAATTCGAAACGAAAGGGCATGGCTCTTTCGAGAGACGTAATGGTCTGACAGCGTGTTCGAGTGTGCGATGATGTGTCGTTTCGTTTGACGAGACGAAACGACGACTCGCGCAATGATGGCCTGCAAGACGTGCTTGCGCATTAAATGCGCCGACCGACCTACGCATTTAAGGCGCCAATTGTCAATCACTTCAGGAGGAATGCAAAGGGTTCAACCATTGGAATCCATTCGGCCTCTGCCCAGGCCGCGACCGAAGAATCCAGGGATGTGGGGGCAATGTTTGTGCCTAATAAATCACGGTCATAAACTAACTGAAGGGACTTCCTCTCGGCCCTAGCACTTACTCATGAACTGAAACAACCACGTTTCGTTAGGCATTTCGCCTTCCTGAAAACAAAAGAAAAGCTGCAAAGGTAGAATCCTCTCGGCCTCGCGACTGCGGTATTATAGGTCGAAGCCGAAGGCCGTAAAAGACACAGTCGAAGATGCTGTGGTTAAATCGCCACGTGGCCTCAGGGTCCCACGCCCTATTTAATGAAGTAATGCCTCTGACTATCGCAGCAAACTCATTAGTCGCAAGAAGCATTTAATGCACGAGGGAAGAGGGAAAGTGACTGAAGTCAGGATTTGGTGATGGAAATCAGAGTGGTTGGGCGCAAACGTTCTCACAAGTATTCTTACAACTTGAGGTCAGATCACCGACCACCAGACAAGGGCATTAAATGTGTTCCCAGGGCCAAGGGGCAGAACCCACGATCAGGGCGGTGGCCGAGATTTACCGGGGTCACACCACCATGCTTCACGATCCCAAATGCCGATTTGACTACCCACTTGCCCCGATCAGGCTCTACCACGCAGATATTTTCAGCCTCGATTGTCCTTCCAGGACTTCTCCTATAAATACTAAGCTCAATACTACATTCAAAGGGTTCAAACACCAAACCAAAAGCCTTCCACGGAGCAAATTATATTTTCCTGTAATGCACTTTCAATGGACTTCTCCTATAAATACTAAGCTCAATACTACATTCAAAGGGTTCAAACACCAAACCAAAAGCCTTCCACGGAGCAAATTATATTTTCCTGTAATGCACTTTCAATACCTTTATTTGCTTTCCTAAGAGTAGTGGTAGATTGTAAGGAAAATTCATTCATCAATATATCATACGACCCTTGATTTTCAAGGCGCCGGAGCACCATCTCTGTTATCATCTCATTCATCCCATATATCATACGACCGTCGCTCTCGGAGCAACGCGCCGGAGCACCGCCTAAAACCCGCCACCAACACCACCACTAAACGGCCTTGTAGCTCAGGCCGTGAACCTGACGGCCGAGATCAGTTCCTCTCTCGGCCACAATTGTTTGATTAGGAGTCGAACTCAAAACAAGCGCATCATTTAACCATCTTCTACCCAAACCTCATCACCATCTCGACGCACGGTAGACCGTGCTGGCACGCCCGCGCACAACCGCACCGCACCCAAAAGAAGGACGTCACGTGTTAACGCACATCCCCTCGGCCTGGAGCACCAGGCCGTGAGATTTGCGCAGCCAACAAATAGAGGAGGTGGCAAGTCAAGCTTTGAGAAATCCTGTTTCAAGAAATAAAGAAAGAAATATAAGATAGCTTGTAAAAAAGTAAACTAAACGAATCTAACTAAACCATCCCAACCGTTGTGGTATTAAAATATAAACGACGGTTCTGTGAAAAAACTGACGTAGTAAATAATGTAGATGGCGGTAAACAGAACCAGTCGTTGTGTACTAGTTCTAACATCGCAAAACTATAACAGGTCGTCTAAATAAAATGCAAAATGAAGTGAAGATGCCTTGTAAAACAAGTGAAAAAAACAACGTAGTAACTAATGGAGACAAAAAAAAAAAAATAGAAATGAGACAACGGTAAACAGAAACCGTCGTTATTTACAAAGACGGTTCTTTGATACCACAGACGTATTATGGAATTTCAAATGGCGGTAAATATATACCGTCGTTGTTTGAAAATTCTTATGTCGAAGATGAAAAATAGCGACGTCTATTTAAAATTTAAAATTTAAAAAGCAGAAGAAAAAAAAAACCCAAATATCATAGAGTTTACCATTTCATCTTGATGTTTTTCAATAGCATTAGCATCAAGCTTTGGATTTTCTTCCTCCAAAACAAAAGGTCTCACATTAGTGGCTTTGGAGCAACTTGCTTTGTCAGATATTGCATTTTTTTGGGCTTTGTTCTTAAGGCAGTAAAGGAATTGCGGTAATTGGAGTTTTGAGCATGTTTGGATCAAAATTGGGAATTAGTTGACTGAATTGTTTCAACCTAATTTCCCTCTCTACTCTGACTGCCTCTCAAATAGTTTCCTTTGCCCTAGCCTCAATCCTCAAGGTATCTTCTCTGACTACTTCCATAACACTTTCCTTCAATTTGTCATCAAATTGTACTCTCTGCTATCTTAGCAAATTGAAGAATTGACTTGGGGAAACCCCAGCTTCAACACCCCTGGCTCTCCCACCATGCTTAGGGGTTCCCAAAGGCAAAGTCAAAATATCATTGCTCCCAGAGATAGTCAAAGTTCCCTTGGAGACTTGTTTTTTCAAACCATCCTAAAAGAAAGAGAGAGAGAGAATGTTAGTGAATGAATAGATTGTAAAACAAATAAAATAAAACATCTAACTCATAAATATAAATTGTTGTGGTAATTCAGTGAAGACGACGGATTCTTGAAAAAACTGACATAGTATTGCATTTCAAACGGCAGTAAGAAAATACCGTCGTTGTGTAATCATTTTAACGTCGGTACGAAAAAAAACCATCGTATAATCCAAAGTCGTCTGTAAATGAAAGTTGTAAAACAGAAAAAATAAAAATGACCCTAAATAAAAAACATATACCGTTGTGGTATTTTAATAAAGACGACGGATTCTAGAAAACATTGATGTAGTACAACATTTCAAACAGTGGTAAATAATTACTGTAGTTGTGTATGCATTCTAACGTCGATAGGAGAAAAAAAATTCGTATAATTTAAATGCATAGATAAAAAAAAAACTTAACAAAAATAAGCATTCTTGAACAGAAATAGTGTAAAAACCAATTGCAAAAAAATAGAGAGAGAGAGAGAGAGAGAGAGAGACAGTATGCGTGTGTGAGCAAATGAAGATAATAGTAAAACTTTTAAAATAAATTGTCATGGTAATTCAATCCAGACGTGTATTTCCTTAAACAACCGACATCCCATACATTTTGAAATGGCGGTAAATAAAAACTGTCGTGGTGTTTCATTTCTAACGACTATTATTAAAACAAACGACGTCTAAATGAAATTAAAAATCTCTGAGACTTACGATTAATTTTGTCTTCTCTGCAACCTTTGGATCGAGGATGTTTCCCTCTTTATCTTCTCTTGCCTTCTTCCAGAACAGAGAACGATTGATTTCTTCACTGGGCATGGTTTCTACTAATTCTTCCTCCAAACCAACATACCCTTTTCGAGACAACCTATGGTTGTACTAGCATTTTTCTCTTCTCTGTGACTGCTCAGAATGCACAGCCTCAAATTCTGGGGATAACCTTGAAGCTACAAAGGCATCCCATTGTGATTTCCCTATGAAGTTATATAGTTGAAGGGGTTCTTTTAACTTCTCCTTGTCATTTGTAAATGGAAGGATAAACTGCCTCGTTAAGGTAAACTTGAAATCCTTCCATTTTTTAGCGACAGACGATAGCACCATCTTCTTTAGGCCCCTGGACAATTAAGTCTATTTCTTGTCCACAAGAGGGACTCTGGTGCATGCCAAAACACCAATGTAAGATTGCATCTCAACAGCAGCCTTGCCATATGGTCTGCCCCTTTTATTGTACTCAACCATGGGCTTAATCTTTTGGATTTTCCTCTTCACAACATGGCTCATTGTGTTGACACCGCAAGTCGATTTTGGCTCCTCATCAAATGTCGCTGAGCTAGGGTCTTTCTTGGAGGTTGAAGTAAATCTCATCTTCTTCGCGGTATTGCTTTGAACTGATTTGGCTTAATTCATTTGAGCCTTTGAAACTGCAAGGTCCTTGCTTTGACCTTTTGATACTTGAGCCTCCTTACTTTGAGATTTCAAAACCATGTTTATAGAGAAATTAAACATGCAAGTGAAACAACGACAGTTAATTAAAAAGAACAACGTAATATTTCAAAGAAGACGTCAATAAATTTAGAACGACGGTTGTAAACCACCGACATGGTACGAAAATAAAACAACATAAAAAAGAAAAAACTGTCGTCTTATTAAGAGTGATACAGAAAAAACCGCTCAGATCTCTCTCTCTCCCACGATCGTTTTGTACGACAATATGACGACAATTTTATCTTGTTTATGTCGTATTAAATGTCACAACACGACGGTGATTAACTATCGTCGTGCTATTTGCAATAGCACGAATTTAATTACCGTCGTGGTGTGTTAAATAAAACTTCGTTGCTATTTGTTGGTGTTGAATATGGGAGGGGTTAGCTGGTTGGTTGCTGCAGTGGTGGTTTGAGTGGGGTGGGTTTGGATATCGCCCGCGGTGAAAAGTAAGCTGGTGGGGAAGGGGTGGTGGCTGTTGGGTTTTGGTGTTAAAGGAGGGTGGTGTTGGATTTTAATTTATTTTAATTATATTTTTATTGTTAAAGTAATTTAAACAACAAAAGAATTTTTTGTCTCTGTGGAATTCCATGTCATTAAAAAATGGGTCTCACTTTTGCCACATAAGCATTTAATTCATTCACTGTTTGTGTAACGAGGTAAATTGTAACTTTTTTGGGGGCTTGAGTATGTGCTCATAAATGTTCCTAATGGTAGGTATGAACTTGAAAATGACCCTATAATTTGAGGGATTAGGGAATGCTAGCAACCTTCTCTCTAACATTCTCCTTTGGACCTTCTCCATTTCCCTCATGACATGTGTCATTTTCTTTACACTTAAAACAATGTCATTAAGACATTAAGCAACCTAACTTTTGTTTTCCATATTTACCCTTATTTGATGTATTGACTTTACTTTTATTTATTAATTTTTTTTACAGCTTTCTTAATAACTTGTAAAAAATTATTATATTAATTTATTAAATATAAAATAATAATAAATAAATAAAAACCTATCTCAAGTCGTCCCCACCTTTTTCCCCAAAGCACAGCACCTCTATCTTCCCCACCATCTCATTAGCGCCACCCATCTCCACCCCACCCTCTCCTCACCACCTCCCTATACTCTCTTCCTTCTCTCTCCCTCTTTTTCTCTCTTCCCCCAATCTCTCTTCAAACAAAACCAAGCCCCTGCAAGTTTTGGCTATGGTAAGAAGACCCTCAAGGCCACGGCAAGCATTGGCCATTATACTACATTTGGGTTTGAGGACCATTACCAAGCACCAACAACAACAGCCCAGCCCAAATTTAAAAATCTCACCTTAAAGTTGCAAACTTTAATATGAGAAATAAACAAAATGATTTTGATGGATTTTGATTTTGATTTTTTTGTGGGAGATGTCATGTTGTTTCAGGTGTGAAGGTCTGGCTCTCTCAAAATGATAATAGAGGGTTGGATTTGGGGCTGCAAGTCTGTGATTATTCGAAGAGAGAGAAAGTTGTAAAAAAAATTTGAATGAATTGAAGTAAACATTAAAGTCAATACATCAAATAAGGGTAAATATGGAAAACAAAAAGTAGGTTGTTTGATGTATTAATGACATTGGTTTAAATGTAAAGAAAACGACACATGTCATGAGGGAAAGGGAGAAGGTCCAAAGGAGAAGGTTAGAGAAAAGGTTGCTAGCATTCCCCTTTCTATAAAATTAACACAAGGAAAGCATAAGACCAATTCAGACATCACAATAAACACATGGCAATCATAAGGCCAATTTAGACAACAAAAGCCACCATAGTCCAAGTTTTAAGTTCATAATGCTTTTAGGAGCCAAAATCAAGAGTATTGTTTTCTAAAGCCCAAAACAGAAAATAGAAATAAACCATTACACTGATGGTTGTAAAATTAACAGAATATGAAGAAGAAACTTATACCGATGAAAAAAAATCACTGCTTTTATATCCAAGACAAAAATACTCATAAATGCAGATTTCAGTGTCCACATAAGATTACTCATAATCAAGATTAGAAACGATACAGGCACTGTCACGCCCCGGACCCAGAGGTCGGTGGAAATCCTGCGCCCGGTGCGTGAGAAAAAGAAAAAAAAAGAAATACAAAGAAGGGTTTAAAATAAACTTCTCTTATAAAAATAGCTCCGAAATCTTACAACTTTACAAGAAATAAATAAAGCTCTACTACTCTCATCTAATTCAGTCTCAATCGATTTAGTCCTCGTCTTGCCCACTAATTCATCTGAAAAGTTAAACATGGTGAGGGATGAGCAACCACCGCTCAGTGAGTAGATTGTGCAATATGCCAATCAAGCAATGCTGTTTTACACACTCTAGAAAATATCATGAAAAGATACACCAATCCATATCATATCACATCATCCCTTCATATCTCGGTTATCCTTCATAGCATGTAACCAACCACGTGACCCCTACTGGCCTTATTGCCCTATGTCCCCGTGTGGTACATATATCCCTCGGATACCCTAACATTGAAGTTCTCATGTTCTATGAATAATACGTACTTCACAAATATTCTAGTTAATATATATAGTGTGAAAGATTGCACCAAATTAGACATGCTTGACTTGAAATAGAGAGATATTTGTAAATAGAACAAATCCACGATAATTCATGGTTTTCATATTTTATCACAAAATAAGAACTTTTAAAACACATTACATAAACCACTCACCTCGACAATGAGAGCCCTTAAAATAAATTGACAAGACAAGCCATTTACCTATCTCGTCCAAAATCAAATTTCCTTACATCTCTCTCTCTCTCTCTCTCTCTCTCTCTCTCTCTCATGCATACCATGCATGCTATTTAAACAAGTTAAGGGAATGGTTTCTATTTATAGTAGCAAAAGGCTTGGTGGAATGTAGGTTTGGTGATATACTTCACTTCCTAAATTATCCTACTTTCTCCTAATGCCAACAGCTCATGCTTTACAAAACCTTAGTCATCTAGGTAGAAAGCTTAGTCATCTAGGTATACACTTGTGAAGAAACTAGAGTGGTAAATATCTTTGTACGTGGCATCATCTTATATCAAACAAATAGGTATTTTTATAATAGTATTATCATAAAGGTAACAGCTATGTGGTCAAACTATTATATAATTACCTATAACCCATATAAATATATAATCAATTTAAACGAAATTTTTAACTTATAAGCAAAACATTTGATTTTCAAATATATATGTATATAATGCACCCAATAACCATCTAATAGCATTCAAGGAATAATGAACAAATATATAATTTAAACAAACCTTTTTTATTCGAAAGAACATATGTATATAAACATACATACATATATATATATATATATATATATAGATTTAATGAAATAATATCATATAGCTATTGAAATGGTATTATAAACATATACTTTTCCTTCTTACCAAGATAATTACTTAAGAATAATAACATTTATTTTTCTTATTCAACATTTAAGAAAACGGACTCTCACAATCTACCCTCCTTAAAGAAATTTCGTCCTCGAAATTTAAAAAGAAATACTTACTGGAATCAGAGAAAAATTTTATGGGTACTACTTACGCATTTCAGTTTCTAATTCCCATGTAGCTTCCTCTATATTCCCATGTACCCAAAGAATTTTGACTAATGATATTGTTTTCGTATGTAACACTTGTTCCTTGTGATCCAAATTATGTACTGGTCTTTCCTCAGATGACAATTCTTCACCTAAATTGAGTTCTCCCCAATCTAGAACGTGAGTTGGAACAGGCTCATATTTTCGAAGAATAGAAACATGGGAAACTTTGGTGGTAGCTAACTTATAAGCTACTTCACCAATCCTTTCTAAGATTTCAAATGGTCTAACAAACTTTGGTGATAATTTTCCAGTCTTCCCGAACCTTTTTTTTACTCCTCTTCATGGTGAGACTTTAAGAAACACATAATCACCTACGTCAAAACTTAATGGTTTTCCTTCTTCGGTCTGCATAGTTCTCTCATTGACTTTGAGCAGTTAAGAGACATTGCTTGATAACTTTAATCTTTGCAGTTGTCTCTTGTACCAAATCAGGTCCTAGCAATATAGTTTCTCTTACTTCAGTCTAACACACAAGCACTACTACAAAAAAGGATAAAGACGTTTTTTTTTTTTTTTTTTTTTTTTTTTTTTTTTTTTTTTTTTTTTTTTTTTTTTTTTTTTTTTTTTTTTTTTTTTTTTTTTTTTTTTTTTTTTTTTTTTTTTTTTTTTTTTTTTTTTTTTTTTTTTTTTTTTTTTTTTTTTTTTTTTTTTTTTTTTTTTTTTTTAAATTTTTTTTTTTTTTTTTTTTTTTTTTTTTTTTTTTTTTTTTTTTAAAAAAAAAAAAAACCCAAAAAAAAAAAAAATTTTTTTTTTTTTTTTTTTTTTTTTTTTTTTTTTTTTTTTTTTTAAAAAAAAAAAAAAAAAAAAAAAAAAAAAAAAAAAAAAAAAAAAAAAAAAAAAAAAAAAAAAAAAAAAAAAAAAAAAAACCCCCCCAAGGACGCGGTTTTCAAACCGTCGTGGAATCGACCGACATCTATTTGGGTGTCAAACCACAACGCTAAATCACCGTCGTTGTTAAAACAAACAACGTCATTAACAAATAATAACCGACGTCTTTGTAATGGAAAAAGAGATAAAAAAAACAGTCGAGGATGAGAATAGATGACCAATTCTAACAAAAACCGTCGTTAAAAAGGAAACATATGACATATATTAACAGAACATGGCCGCAAGATATACATACAACGACGAAAACTAAAACCCAACGCCGTTAAATATACCTTTCACGACAAATAAAAATATGACGTCTTTAAATACATAATCGACGACATTATTGACTCCTACTACGTTAGTATCTTTTCAACAACCGTCGTGAAATGAATTTTCCACTTCGATTTTTCTATTAATGATGACGTGGAAATAGATGTTTGGGTCATTACTTACGACACATATATTTAAACTGACGACGTTGTACTAATAAACAACGTCGGTTACAAATAATTGAGAGCCGTATTACAGAATTTATACGTCATCTCTTAAAATATAATCGTCGTCTAATGGATCTTACACGGCAAGGTTTCTCAGTTCACCGCCGTGTAAAATAGTTTTAACGACACGATCTTAAAATAAACGACGTGGAAAATATGTTGGGGTCATTACTTACGACATATTAATTTATAAAGACGACGTTGTCGTCAATATACAACGTCGTTATCATTCAAAAGACAGCCGTGTTTCATAATATATACGTCATCATTAAAAAATTACCCTCGTCTAATTCCTATTAGACAGCGTTGTTAATCCGATATTAGCCGTGTAAAGAAATTTTAACGACATTATCATAAGAAAAGAGACGTGGATACATTCATATAACGTTGTTTTTGTAAAGGAACGACGTCCAAAAATATCTTAACGTCGACAAATTTACTAATGGATTTAAAATACCGTCGTGAATTCATTCTTTTCCACTTCGTTTATGAAATAACATGCGACGTGGTAAAGTTAAGACGACGTCGTCTTTTGTAACGTTCAGGTTAGTTATCTCGTCTTTTAGACGTCGGTATTATGGGATTGGAGTCGTGTTATTTGGAATTACATGGCGGCTCTTTATGCTTCTCCGACGTGATATCCTTAATAACTGTTTCACAATAGCGTCGTGGTTCTTCTTTGTTACGTTGCTTTAAGACGTCGGTAAATATATTGGGGTCGTTGAATGCTCCAAAACGTCGTTTTTTATTAGAACAGACGTTTGTTTTTCACATTTTTATCAAGACCGTCGTGTTTGTAATCTTGAACCAGTATTTTTGTACTGATTGTTTTGTGGCCAAAACCTGTATAATGAAAGTGAAGAAATCACATTACAATATATTACAAAATTAATGTCATACACTGGCAATTACATAAGCATCATTCAATCCATATATCTTCACACCCATCTCGAATATTTTGACTCCCAAACTCACCCACTAGTTCATCAAATGTGTCAACATTTGGCATCCCTCTAGTAAATGGCTCACACTCAATTCTCACATCACCTAAGACATCATCATCACCAATAACATCATTATATTCTCTATTAGGCATTGATAACACTACCGACCAACCACGATGCATCGGGTCATCAACAAAAAATACTTGTTTGACTTGAGAAGCCAAAACAAATTGGTCATTCCTATGTCCAATTTTACTCAAATCTACAAGGGTAAATCCAAGTTCGTCGACTACAAGACCAGAAGTACTATCTATCCAATCACACCTAAAGACTGGGATTGTAAACTTTTGGTAGTCAAGGTCCCAAATTTCTTGAATGACACCATAGAAACCCATATTTGAGAGAATTGGGTTTTATCCTTGGCACTAGCAACTTGCATGGTATGTGCAAGTAAATAAACTCCACTATTTTGAGTTGTCCGCACATCATCTTGTGCCTTGATGTTAAATTTAATACCTTTAATAAGATAGCTCCTATATGATGGCACTGCCATGTTTGGACCAGCTGCTAGCCACCTTAAATTTTCTGATACGCCATGATTGTCTTCCTCATTAAGTTCACTTTGAACCTGCAAATTAATCATATCTTAATTCAATCTAACATAGAAAGAAGAAAATTAAAAGTCCAATATGTTATTCAATATACCTTGAAGCGTAGCCATTGAATGAAAGTGCTATTGTGCTTATCATGCAACCACTTTGTTCTCTTTCTAAATTTTGGATAAGCGGTCTTAATGTGGATCATATGTTGCCTACATGACATATAAGATAAACATAAGAAATAATTTAAAATGGAAACTTAAAGAATAAAACTCATACGTACTCGATATAAGGTAGGACTTCCTCCATATTCTCCAAGATATATAGATGTGCTTGGTTCAACAGGTCCCGATCAACAATGCTCATTGTGCAACCTGATAATGGCTTTGAAACTCCCATCTTTTGGCTTGAAGGCACTCCAACTGTACTAACATCAGATAAATGCTCGTACAAAACTCTACAGCTTCTTCAGCTATATACCACTCAATAATGCAACCTTCTGGACGAGTACGATTCTGAACATACCCCTTTAGCACTTTCATATATCTTTCAAACGGATACATCCATCTAAAATATACTGGCCCACATAAACGAACTTCTCTGACAAGATGTACTACTAGATGAACCATGATATCAAAGAATGAAGGGGGAAAGTACTTCTCAAGCAAACACAAAGTAACTACTACATCTTCTTCCAACTTATCTAATTTGGAAACATCAACAGTCTTTGCACATATAGCATTGAAGAAGAAGCACAAACGAGTTATTGCATACCTTGCAGGCTTCTCCAAAACAGAACGAATTGCCACAGGGAGCAATTGTTGCATTAAGGTATGACAATCATGTAATTTAAGGCCAAGAAGTCTTGAATCTTGTAAAGATACAAGATTTTTTATATTTGAAGAATAACCTTCAGGGACCTTCATACCATAGAAAGAATTGCAAACCTCTCTCTTCTCTGCTCTTGACAAATTCCAAGGCCCGGGAGGCAAACGAGTACGTCTTTCTCCATACTCCGGTTGCAAATCAATTTTGACCCCCATGTTCAATAAATCTAATCGAGAAACAATCCCATCTTTATTTTTTCCAAGGATCTCCAGCAATGTACCAATGATACTATCGCAAACATTCTTCTCAATGTGCATAACATCTAGGACATGCCTCACAGGAAGGTATTTCCAATACTCGAGATCAAAGAATATTGATTTCTTCTTCCAACAAACTTTGTCACCATCTTCAACCATATGCAGCACTTCTTCTCCGGTTAATGGCTCGGGAGGCGTGCCATATTCAGGTTTCCCATTAAAAGCTGCACGTTGCCTCCTATATGGATGATTGATTGGTAACCATTTTCTATGCCCAATGTAACAAATTTTGTGGCCATTTTTCAACCTGTGACTAGGTGTATCATCGCCGCATATTGGACAAGCTTTATATCCTTTAACAACACAACCAGATAAGTTTCCATAGGTGGGGAAATCATTAATTGTCCACATTAATGCAGCTCTGAGTGTAAAGTATTCTCCATTATGTGCATCATACACTCCTCTAATCCCATCCCACAAAGATTTTAAATCATCAATCAAAGGCTCCAAGTAGACGTCTATATCATTTCCGGGTTGTTTAGGACCGGAAATCAATAAGGTCAACATCATGAACTTTCGTTTCATGCACAGCCATGGAGGGAGATTATATGTAACTAAGATAACTGGCCAGCAACTATATCTGCTACTTAGAGAACTGTGGGGATTGAATCCATCAGATGAAAGAGCCAATCTCAAGTTTCGCGGCTCATTACCAAACTCGGGCCATTTATCATCAAGAAGTTTCCAAGACGGGGAATCCGCCGGATGAGACATCTGACCGTCAATTGATTTTCTAGCAGCATGCCAAGTCAAACTCTTAGCTGTCTCATGTGATCGAAACATCCTTTTAAACCTTGGAATTGGAGGAAAATACCACACCACCTTCGTTGGCACACCCTCTTTCAAGATTGAATCTTTGCCTTCCTTCCACTTTGAGATACCACAAGTAGGACAAATAGTTGAATCTTCATACTCCTTCCTATACAAGATGCAATCATTGGGGCATGCGTGCATTTTCTCATAACTTGGCCCCAATGCACACAAAGTCTTTTTTGCCTCATACATAGAGGCCGGTATTGTATTTCCTTCTGGAAGCAAATCGCCTTGAAGTATCAATAATTCTGTAAAACAGACATCACTCATCCCATGTTTTGCCTTCAAATTATACAACTTCACTAATGCTGATAACTTCGTGTACTTTCTACAACCAGGGTACAATGGTTGATCTCCATCCCCAATCACATTGGCAAACTCATAAGGATCGGATCCAAAATCACCAAAATCATTATCATCCATCTCTATTTCTTCATACACAAAACTGTACCTACTATGGTCATCATCTTCTTCAACATTTCTACTAGCATTAGTAGTTGCTTCCCAAGGTTCTCCGTGAAATGTCCAATTCTTATAGCTTTGGTCAACTCCATTAAAGTATAAATGATCCCTTATAATTCCAACCCCAAACAATTTCAAATTAACACATTTAACACATGGACAACGGATATGTGTTGTAGTTAGAAGATTTTCTACAGAAAAGTTCAAAAATGCTTCCACCCCTAACTCATATGCCTTCGATCTTCTATCCGAGTGCATCCATGACTTATCCATCTCCGACACTATACCTTATTATCTATAATAAAGTGAAAAGACAAGCAATGACCATCACTATAGCAGATTATATAAAGTTTTAATAGCATGTAATATACTACACAGACGACGATTTTTAAACAAAACTGATGTATTTGACATATATAGACGACGGTTTGTCAACAAACGTCGTCTAATTATACCCACGACGGTAGATAAAGAACACCGTTGTGTATAAGTAATACAGACGACGGTTTATTAAAAAACTGTCGTCGTATGCCTAAAAAGGCATCGATATCCCAGTTTATTTTCAAGAACCCAAAACCCTATTAAGAACAACATATACATTAATTTTTATGTTAGGTATTAAGCATGAAACCAAGCATGAAACAACATATACTAAGCATGAAAACAATAAATCCATTCCCGATTCAACATAACAGAGAGTGATTAAAAGATCCGACAAAATTAAATCCATTCCCTATTCAACATAACAGAGAGTGATCATGAAAACATTAAACAGAAAATCCATGAACAAATACCTCCAACAACATTACTAAAAGATCTCACAACATATATCTAAAACCCTTTAACAAAACAACCTAATATCATTCAATGAATTTACAAGGGGAAAATAAGGGTTTGTACTTACAGGTTGGCAGAGCTCACAGATTATGGCCTACTTGAATTCGACGGAGCCTGGAGAGCCCAACTTCGAATTAGAGATTAAGGGAGAGAGTGAAATGTTATGTTGCCCGAAATCTGAAAATTTTAGGGTTCAGGGTTACAAGTATAAGACTTAGAGTGAAATCTGAAAATTTTAGGTCGCGCGAAATTTTTTTGGAAAGCGCTCTCTTTAAAACCTCGACGAAAAAAACAATCGAAGTCATCAAAACTAAGAGAAACCATGGCGAAAGTTTTACCAAAACTGACATAAATTCATTATTCCACGACTCAAACACTGAACTCAACGCCGTTTATTTTAAAGAAACCACGTCGTCTGTTGAACCAATAGCGTCGTTTAAATAACCTTTTACGTTTTTTTTTAAATCGATGACGTTGTTATTCATGTACAACGTCATTTTAAAGGAACATAAACACCGTCGTCAAAAAAGTAAACATCGACTGAAAACATAAATACCGTCGTTAAAAAATAATACCCTAAACCCTAAACCCTAAATTATATATTACTAAAATATAGTTTTATAAAAGGGTTTATGGTTTTACAACCTAATATATAACGTCTTTTAAACCGTAAACCCCAAAAATTATCCTTTAATCCTAAACCCTAATAAATAACAACCCTAAACCATCAAACTACAAGTGATGTTATGACTCATCAAAACAATTTATTTTTGGGTGGTCATTTTAAATTTGTATTACTCAAATTGAATTTTTTTAAGGTTTAGGGAGAAGAAAATATATCAATGACTTCATAGGAGTTGACGTTTCATTTTTTGGATTTATTTCATATTTATTTTGAATATTTTGAATTAAAAATAATAAAATATTCTTATATCAACTACAAACCACGTCGGGGTTAATAAATTAGAGACGTTGTAAATCATAATAAACGACTCACTTGTAAAAAGGACGTCGTTTAAAAGAGAAACCATGGCGGATGTTTCACCATCCGATGTAAACTCAATATTCCACGACTCAATCACCGTCATTAAAAAGTAATACCCTAAACCCTAAACCCTAAATTATATATTTTTAAAATATAATTTTATAAAAGGGTTTATGGTTTTACAGCCTAATATATAACAAACATAAATCGTAAACCCCAAAAATTATCCTTTAATCCAAAACCCTAATAAATAACAACCCTAAACCCTAAACCATCAAACTACAAGTGATATTATGACTCATCAAAACAATTTATTTTTGGGTGGTCATTTTAAATTTGTATTACTCAAACTAAATTTTTTTAAGGTTTAGGGGGAAGAAAATATATCAATGACTTCATAGGAGTTGACGTTTTATATTATTATGAATATTTTGAATGAAATAGAATAAAATATTCCTACAAACACAACAAACCACGTCCACTTTAAGAAAGTAACGATGTTTTAAATATAATAAACGACTTACTTGTTGAAAGGACGTCGTTTAAAAGCGAAACCGTGGCGAAATTTTCACTAAAACGACGTCCTATCGACGTACAAACGTTATATCACGACTTAAACAAAAAATGTGTCGCCGTGTAATTTAATTACCACATCACACCTGTCGTCTAAATATCCTTTTACGTCGGTTTTGTTTCAAACTATTACACGTTTTATTTTTTTTTTTTTTTTTTTTTTTTTTTTTTAAATAAAACCTCAACAAATTTTCAGGGAAAAAACGGATGTATATTATAGACAAAATTTGTACATTATATAAAAATATCAAGTGTTCTTAAAATCCTCTAGTGCACATGAAGGCAAACAAACTCTGCCCATTCATTCCTGACTTCATCAATGGCTGCTTGGGGGTATGACGCTTGCTCTTTTCCCTTGGCAAACTGCAATCTATAAAAAATGATTATTAAGCTTTATAAATAAAAAGAAATTAAATCACAGACGACGCTATTTTCATAACCGACGTAGTATATCGATTCAACAATGGTAATTTTGAAGGATCGTCGTTGATAATACAAAAAACCACATAAAATGTATTTGAAAATTTTCTTCTTACCGTCTTCTCAAACTCCAGGGAAGGATCCATGATGATGTCTCTCATGAAGCGCATGACATAATACCCGCATTCGACACTGCTAGGTTGCTTTGGTGTGCCTGGCAGAGTATTCCAAATGGGTGCTTTACGGCCTTGTCTGTCTATGTGGGAATTATAAATTTTTATAGCACTGTTCACCATGTTTTTGGCCTCCTCGTTAACCACACGATTTCCGGGCAGAAGATCCAGAAAATAGACGGTTTCCTTCTTTACTCTCACAATCAGCAAGAACCAATGACGGTTGTACAAAATTAATATAAAACAAATATATATAAAAAGTGAGCACAAGAAAACAAATGACGGTTATTTATAAAAATGACATATTATATAGTTTCACACGACGAAATAACGTAGCAATCGACGTCATTATAAATTTACCACAACGGTAATTAACTAACGACGTGGTTAGTCGTTTCAAACAACTCAATAAATAAAGAACCGACGTGGTTAGATGTTTCAAACGGCACAAAATTAGTTAAACAATTTTATACGCAGTGCATCATACAAACAAAATCCTGTTAAGGAGACTAACCCTGGATTGTAAGGCATCATGAAAATTTGTTCACCATCTGTCTTCTGAAGTCAATTGGCTACAATTCGTGATCTGTCAGTTAGTGACCCAGCGTTGGCACTAACTTGAGCAGGGTCGATAAAGCCAACCATGTTGAGCATATTTGCTACTTTCAAATGATCATATAAGCACCTAAATATATAAAACAAAGATATATAACACACGACGGTTATTTATAAAAAACGACGTATTATACAATTTCACACGACGAAATGAAATAGAAATCGACGTTATAACTTAATTTATAACGACGGTACATAACTAATGACATGGTTAGTAGTTTCAAACGACGCAATAAATAAACCACCGACGTCTTATGCTATAATGATTTTTTTTTTCAACACAAATTTGAGTGTGAAATAAATATTTGATAAGGACAAACCTCATATATACTGCAAGCACAGTAGCCCCAATTTCTTCCATGCCTGCTAACTGTGTAATATCTTCAGGCAAGACGAAGGTACTGAGATCTGCACCAAACACCTCCTTCCTAATTGTAAAGGTCATGATCTTCTCCTGAGGCTTTAGTGTGGTTTCCACATAACGACAAAGGGATTGTAAGGAAGATGGCACCTCCACCTTTGAATAAATACCCTGTTTGAAGAAATAAAGCAAAATAAAATGACGTGGTAATTCAATAAACACGACGGTTTAAAGAAAACAACGTCGTTTGATAATAATTTAAACGACGGTAACAAAACACCGTCGTGTTGAATAATTTATTACGTCATAGGAAACAAATTACGACGTCTAATTTGAAAACAAACGACGGTTTAAAGAAACTATCGACGTCTAAAATTTGAAAAACAAATAAAAAAGGCAAAGTTATGAGAATATACCTTCTCATCATGCTTTTCTTCATCTTCTTTTTTTTCTTTCTTCTCTTCATCTTCTTTTTCTTCTTTCTTCTCTTCATCTTTTTTTTCTTCATCTTTTTTTTCTTCTTTATTCTCTTCAACTTTTTTTTCTTCTTTCTTCTCTTCATCTTGATTTTCTAAATCCCCAGATTTCTGTTTTAAGTAAAAAGGAAATATATATATATATATATATATATATATATAAGACAGATTGTACAGAAAGTAAAAAAATTAAATCAAAACGTCGTGGTAAGGCATAACTTAAGACGGTATGTAAAAATTATGGACGTCTTAAAATTATTAAACGATGGTAAATAATAAACATCGTGGGGATTCATATATTACGTCGGTAAGGACTAAAACCGTCGTCTAAATCACAACAAAAGTTTTCAAAAATAACGACGTCTAATGGCGTGTAAAACAAGTAAACTAAATACGACGTTGTATTGAAATACAAACGACGGTTTATTAATAAAATCGTCGTGGTATGTATTTCAAACAACGGTTTGCTTCATAATAACGACGTCTAATAGCTCTTTTAAAAAACAGAGAATTCAAAGTTCAGATATGTTACAATTTCTTCCTGCTTTTCCCCATTTTTGGCAGTATCATCCTCAAAATGTAGGGATCTCACATCCCCAGAGCAGTTTGCTTTGTCAGACATTGGATTTTTGGGACTTTGCTCTAGACCTTGGTTTTGACAGGGGCTAGTTTTCGGTTTAAGCATGCTTGGATCAAAATTGGGGATGAGTTGGGAAAGCTGACTCAGTAAATGTTCCCTCTCAGCCTCTACCAATTGCTTGGTTCTAGCCTCCATCCTTAAAGTCTCTTCCCTTGATCTAGCTTCCATCTTCTTAGTCTCTTCTTGAAGGACAATTCTTACACTTTCCTTCAATTGATCGGCAAACTTTACCTTCTGTTGTCTAGGTAAATTGAAGTATTGCCTAAGGGAAATCCCAACACCTACCCCTCTTACTCTCCCTGGATGCTCGGGACCCAAAGCCAAGGTCAACACATCATTACTGCCAAATACACTGAGAATGCCTTCAGCGACTTGTTTTTGCAATTCATCCTAAAACAAAGACATATAAAAAAGTCAGCACAAGAAAACACACGACGGTTATTTATAAACAAATGACGTCTTATATAATTTCACACGACGCAATAACATAGAAATCGACGTTATAATATATTTCTAACGACGTTACTTAAAGAACGACGTGGTTAGTTGTTTCAAACAACGCAATAAATAAACCACCGACGTCTTATGCTATAATTACAAAAAACGGAGTAGCGATTCCAAATTCAGACATGTAACGACGTTTTTAAAACATCTCGACGTAGTAATATATTCAAACGACGCAATAAATAAAACACCGACGTCTTATGCTATAATTACAAAGACAGAGTAGCGATTCCAAATTCAAACCTGTAACGATGGTTTTTAAAACATATCGATGTAGTAATATCATTCACACGACGGTAAATATAAAACAAGACGTAATAAGAATTATCAGGGCAATACAGAGTTTAATAAAAATTTAAAACAGAGTGAGTAGGTACGCTTACAATTAATTTTGCTTTCTCTGCCACCTTTGGATTCGGGATGTTACCATCTTTGTCTTGTCTAGCTTTCTTCCATAAGGTAGATCGATCAATTTCTACCCCAGGCATGGTTTCCTCCAATTGATCCTCCAAACCAGCATATCCTTTTCGAGACAATCGATGATTGTACTCAAGTTTCTCCCTAATCTTTGAATGTTGAGAATGCACAAACACAAATTCTTGGGATAACCTTGAAGCCACAAAGGCATCCCATTCTGCTTTCTCTATGAATTTATATAGTTCAGGGGGTTGGCTTAATTTCTCCCTCTCCTTGATGTATGGAAGGATATAATGCCTCGTTAGTGTAGACTTGAAATCCTTCCATTTCTTGGCAGCAGAAGATAACACCAGGTTCTTGCCCCCTTGACCAACCACAAAAGCCATGTCAACGGCTTCCCAAATCTGCTCCTTTATATCCTTGGGGATTTCAGCCCATTTCCTGTCCACAAGTGGGACTCTGGAGCGTGCCAACACACCCATGTAAGGCTGCATCTCAGTATGTGCAGGGCCACATCCTTTCCCCCTTTTATTGTACTCAACAACTGGCTTGATTTTCTGAAATTTTCTCTTCACAACACAAGGCATTGTGCTCATACCTCGACCTGACTTTGAATCCTCAGAAATTGTTGTCGTGCTGGCTGGTTCTGTCTCAGCAGATGAAACAAACTTCATCTTCTTCAAGGACTTGTCTTGAGGAGTTAACATTCCAAGCTCCTTACCTCCATTTTTTTCGAGACAGAGTCCTTACTTTGGTCTTGAGAAACCATGGTTACAGACAAATCAAACCTGCAAGTGAAAATATTTTAGGAAAAAATTAAGAACACAAACGACGGTTATTCATAAAACACGACATATGATAAGATTTTACACGACGCAATAACATAACATCAGACGTAATAAATGTTTAAAACGATGGTACTCGAACAACGACAAAACAATATAAAAGAAGACGTAATAAGAAGTTATTACGGCGATATTTACACTCTGTCGTGATATTTAAATTCAAACGACGTTAATATTAATATAACGTCGTGGTATTAAAATTAACACGACGTGAATAATAAGATACCGTCGTCTATATTAGATTCCAAACCCTTCTTTGTCTGTGAATGTTTGATTGCAGGTTTGATTTCTCTGAACCATGGTTTTTGTTTTTCCTAATTTGATAAAATACAAAGACAAAGAAAGAAGGTTTTGGAATCTTATATAGACGACGGTATCTTAGTACAACGTCGTGGTATTCACATTCACACGACGTGAATAAGAAGATACTGTCGTCTATATTAGATCCCAAACCCTACTTTCTTTTTCTTTGTATTAGGAAGAACAAAAACATGGTTCAGAGAAATCAAACTTGCAATCAAACAGGAAAATAAAAAAACGACGGTCATTTTAAAAACAACTTAGATCAATTTTCAGACGACGCTAGGGCGATTGATAAACCGTCGTGGTCTACATATTTAACCACGTAAATAAGAAGCTACCGTCGTCTTATTTAGTTGAAGTAGTTGTGTTCAAAGTTGGAAACTTTCCCTCTTTGTCTGTATATTTTATCAAACTTGGAAAGAATTAAAATGATTTTGGCCAGAAAAAAGGTAAAAACATTTTCAAAACAAAAACTGTATGAGCATGCAAAACAGCAACAAAATAGTGAGAAATGAAAGCTTACCTTTTGCGTGCAATGAAAGCTTCCTCTCGGAGTTTGGTGTTTAAGTTCAAAGAAGACGACGAAGACGAGAGAAGACGATGAGATACACTGACAGTTCTTTGACAAGGAAAAAAGACGAAAAGTTTTCTCTCAGAGATTGAAATTTTTATCGGGTTTGGAAACAGTGCATATATAAGTCAGGTAGACGAAAAGTTGAATATATACACAAACAGTTTCAAAAAATAAGACGGCGGTTTACAGAGAATGACGACATATAAATAAAAAATCTACGACGATAATTTGAACTTAGGATGTGGTAAATAAATACGACAGTAGTGTTGTAGGTACCGTCATAGTAAACTCAAAATAAAAGTCCATAAAATAATATCTCGCGTCATGGTACAAGGATTTAACACGTCGTTTTTTTAATATACCGACGTGGATTTTTATAATATACGACTTATATTAAATAATAACCGACGTTGATTTTAAAATTAAACGGCGTTTTATGTGTAATGACCGCCGTGGGTTTTGAAAATTTATTGTATAAATTTGTCGCTTTCTTTCAGTTTCAGTTTTCATTTAGGGTTCCAAGTTCTTCCTCTCTCACAGACACTCTCTCTCACCTCTCAAAGACAATAATTTGGATGTCTTTCTCAAAGAGAAATGGAGCTTACTCTCCAACAAATCTATGTCCACAAGAAGAAGCTTGTCATCTAGACTTCTCACTTCCGTGATCAGGCCTGATAGGAGACTTAGTGCTTCTGAATACTCCTTGCTTTCCATCAAAAGAGATGCAACCCTGGCCTCCACTCGCTGTCGAAGGAAAGTTCGCTTCTCAGCACGGGTCCACTGCGCCATTTCTTTGCAAAGGGAAATCTGAAGATCAGATGTGCCTGATCGTCTGCTCGATTTTCTTGGCTAAGAATATCCGTCAAATTTGTGATAGCCTGTTCCTTTATCCGTAGAGCTTCAGAAAAAGAAGATGGGTTTTCGAGAATGCGATAAAGAATAGAAATGGCTTCAGATGGCCTCTAAAGCCTGAGCAATCGAATTTGTAAAGACATTGTCAATGCTTTGAACTATTCAAGTCCTGCAGAAAGAGAACAGACCAAATTTGAAACAACGACGGTTTTTTGTTCTATCGTCGTCTTTTTTGGTAGTCTTTTTTGTCGTCGTAGTATATTAAAGTAAGATGGCGGTAGGTTTATAATTACCGACGTAGATTATTTTGTTAACGTCGTTAAGTGTAATATAACCGACGTGGATTTTATTTTTTAATTATAAATAGAGTTTTTTTTTCCCGAGTTCTTTCAGTTTTAGTTTTCAATTACAGTGCATTATAAATAGAGTTTTTTTTTCCCGAGGAAATTTAAAATGACGGAAATTAATGTTCTAGAATTTGTAAAGTTTCTTGTTTGGGTGACTGATTAAAATTAAATACGAATATAAAAACAACGACGGTTTTTTGTTCTACTGTCGTCTTTTTTTCGTAAGATGGCGTTAGGTTTATAATTTCCGACGTCTTTAATTTCTACGTCAGTTACTTAATTGATTCTGTCGTTGGTTTTTTCCTCTGAGACTAAGATGACGCAATATATTTGTTTCGCGACGTGGATTCTTTTTGTTAAATGTCGTTAGGTGTAATATAACCGACGTGGATTTGATTTTTTAATTATAAATAGAGTTTTTTTTTCCGAGTTCTTTCAGTTTTAGTTTTCAATTACAGTGCGTTATAAATAGAGCTTTTTTACCGAGGAAATTTAAATGACGAAAATTAATGTTCTAGAATTTGTAAAGTTTCTTGTTTGGGTGACTGATTTAAATCAAATACGAATATAAAAACAACGACGGTTTTTTGTTCTACTATCGTCTTTTTTGTCGTAAGATGGCGGTAGGTTTATAATTTCCAACGTCTTTAATTTCTACGTCAGTTAATTGATTCTGTCGTTGGTTTTTTGCTCTGAGACTAAGACGATGCAATATATTTGTTTCACGACGTGGATTCGTTTTGTTAAACGTCGTTATGTGTAATATAACCGACGTGGATTTGATTTTTTAATTATAAATAGATTTTTTTCACGAGTTATTTCAGTTTTAGTTTTCAATTAGGGTTTCAACTTCTTCTTGCCCTTTTCTCTATCTCACCTCACCTCTTAGGAGGCAATTGTTTGGATGTTGGTGTGTGTGTATGTTTGTGTATCTGATTCACAAACATACACACATCACCAATTTTCAAAAAATTGTCTATCTGATTGCAAATCTGTGGCTGCCGTTGTGAAATTTTAGGAGGCAATTGTTTGGATGTTGATGTGTGTGTGCGTTTGTGTAGATACACAAACGCACACACATCATCAACTTCCAAAAAATTGTCTCTCTGATTGCAAATCTGAGGCTGCCGTCGTCAAATTTCAGAGTCAATTTTTTGGATGTTAATGTGTATGTGCGTTTGTGTATCTCAAAGACACAAATACACATACATCATTAACCTCTAAAATATTGTCTTTCTGGTAAGATTATGATGAGGAACATAGTTCCATCTGGTAAGATTTCATAACCCTTGGGATCTCAGAAAAATGTGATTATGTCGGCGGTTTTTTATATAAACCGTCGTGGTTATTTCAATTCTTGTCATTAAGTTGATCTACCGACGTAGGATAACAAAATCCAAGAAATAAATTGTTAAAAAAAATTCTAATTAAGACGATGGTTTAAATATAAGGTATGACGTATAAAGTGAATAAATACGACGTTAAATTTTATAATACGTCGTTAAATGAAAAACCCCAACGTGGTGAGGGTTAAAGATACCGTCGTAGAACTATACGAGAAAGACGTCGATATATTTATCTTTGCCGTAGTTGTACATTAATTTAATACAGCGGTATTTTGTATTATACCGTCGTGGATTTATTTGTAATTATACGGCGCCTTATACGAAAACTTGGTCGTGTTAATTTCTGAGTAAAAATGGCGGCTTTTTTTGACATCGTCGTCTATACTTTCTACGTCGGTCTATTCATAACTTCTGCCGTTCTTTGTTGGCTTAGATTTTAGTCTGCGGAAATCCCATTTCAATAAGACGTCGGTTGTTTAATTAGGTGCGTCGTCTTTTATGAACAACCATTGGAATCTCCATTTTTTAGGTGTCTAAGGGTTATTACATGGCGGTTTTATAGAACCGTCGTCTTTTAAAAAACAACGACGGTTTTCCCTTAGACCATCGTTTTTTTTTGGTCGTCTTTGTCACTTTTTGTAGTAGTGAAGTGATCGATAAGGTCTTCCATATAAAGCTTCATAATATGGTATAATATTACTACAAAATAAGTTTGAACTGGTAAAGTGAGTTGGTGACATAACTTTTCAGGAGCATATTTCTTTTTATGATTAAGTGTAATTTACGTAATAATTGTTAAGTATTATTTTATAAATATAGGTTTAATCTAGTAGAAATATTTGGTAAAGGTTCAATTGCTATAATTGCTAGAGTAGTAGAGCTTTATTTATTTCTTGTAAAGTCGTAAGATTTCGGAGCTATTTTTATAAGAGAACTTTATTTTAAACCCTTCTTTGTATTTCTTTTTTTTTATAATTATTTTTACTTTTTATTTTTCTCATGCACCGGGCGCAGGATTTCCACCAACCCCCGGGTTCGAGGCGTGACAGAATGGTATCAGAGCTTTAGGGATTAGATACCCTTAGGAACTGTGGTATAGTATTACTACAAAATAAGTTTGAACTGGTAAAGTGAGTTGGTGACATAACTTTTCAGGAGCATATTTCTTTTTATGATTAAGTGTAGTTTACGTAATAATTGTTTAGTATTATTTTATAAATATAGGTTTAATCTAGTAGAAATATTTGGTAAAGGTTCAATTGCTATAATAGCTAGAGTAGTAGAGCTTTATTTATTTCTTGTAAAGTTGTAAGATTTCGGAGCTATTTTTATAAGAGAAGTTTATTTTAAACCCTTCTTTGTATTTCTTTTTTTTTCTTTTTTTCTTTTTTATTTTTCTCACGCACCGGGCACGGGATTTCCACCGACCCCTGGGTCCGGGGCGTGACAGGCACATAAAAGCATGTGTGTTTGAGAGAGAGAGAGAGAGAGAGAGAGAGAGAGAGAGGAGTTACTGGGCACACTTAGCAAGTTTTCCAAGGTTCTGATTATCCAATATTTTCATAATCAAGTATTTGTTCTCATCAAGGTACTGTATAATAAATTAAGAAAAAAGAGACTAACATTAGATTTATTTTAATTCCTCCATATCACATATCCTCCGAGACATATTGGAAATTGGAATACAGAGTAACTGGGGTGTTTTTATTTTTAGCAGCCCTTCATGAAGTCATTGTGAGGAATTTAGTATTATTTATTTAATATTAATTTTGTATTTGAATGGAAATTAATAAAATTTATTGGGTTAAAGACATGACCTTTGGGTTATTATAATGGCACATCTTCAATTGGGGGGTGACAACTCTTCATATGTGTCTGGAACTCAATCAGAGACCTAGGGATGCATTATTTGCCTTTTCATTTTGGGATACCTTTTTGGAAAGGGTATTTCATCATCTATAAATAGAGCAATCCTCCTACAGTTTTATTCATTCAATTAATTCTATACATGCAGACTTCCATATATAGAGAGCATTAGAATTTTCATAATAAAGAGAGGTTCCTGCATAATTTGGTTCAAAGTTCCTTGTGAATTGTAGTGCTTCTTTCATAAGGAGGGGAGTCGTTTTATCATGGGAGGCGAACGCTAGTGAACCATAAGCACCAGTGTGGGACGTAATTCGTCTTAAGGTCAACGTGTCCAACACTTGCCTCGACTCAATTAAGGTTCTTCTAATTCAATTCTCCTTTTGTAAAAATCTGTTTTATGTGCAATATTTATTTTGTTTATTTTATAGCAATTTAGCACTCATATTTCCAACAATCTTAAGACGAATTGATCTGTGTTATTGCTATATACATTATCTGTGTTAATTGCTATATACATAATCTATGTTTGTGCATTTAAATGAAAAGGTGAGAACAGTTTGAATTTGATGCATAAAATAGTTTACTGCTTTAAGATTAAAGTCAAATATCTAACATTTTTAGTTGATTTCCTTTAATTGCCTTTGAAATTAACGCTGCAAACCAATACCAATAATTTTTTAATTGTTTTCCCCTTTTTAGTTGGTTTTCTTTTCCTTTTGTCTTATCTACAATTTAAAGTTGCATTGATCTAACACTATTAGGTTTACTGTTTTGATTGGAACCTACACTATTTAAATTGCTACACGCGTCTGATTGTTGTTAGCCAAGGACACTTGCAACTAGAATTTCATTCTCAATGGTTTGTATCATTCATTATTTATTTTTTATGTTTATTAATTTAAATTATATTGATTTGCATACATTAATTTTTACTGTACTTTTGGATATAGCATTTTACATAATTGTTAGATTGTATTTGCTATAATTTTATATAGGTTTTGTATTATTAGTTTCTGTTTTGTTGTAACGCACTATTGCGTACCATTATTTATCTAATTAAAGACTCCAAATATTTGTTTATTGACATTAAGATTGTTCATTCAATTAAGGAAAATGTCGAATGAGATATAGAAAGTGGGTCCTTCTGTGAAGACCAATGCACCTGCTGTTGTGTTGCCTTCATCCCATGATCATGAAGAAAAGCTTGAAAAATTTAATGCGGGATGGATTTTAAGAGATGGCAACAAAAGATGTTGTTCTACATCACCACGTTGAATTTGGCTCATATCTTGAAAGCAGATCCTCCTGCACCTGGTGATACAATAGAAACAGTGGCTGCTTCTGATGCATGGAACCAGTCCAACTTCCTTTGCAGGAACTACATCCTAAATGGTTTAAGTGATGCACTATACAATGTGTATAGTCCAATTAAGACCGCTAAGGCTTTATGGGAGTCACTAGACAAGAAATATTGGACCGAAGATGCAGGAATGAAGAAATTTATTGTCGGTCGGTTTCTTGACTTCAAGATGGTAGACTCCAAGACTGTCATAAGTCAAGTCCAAGAACTCCAACTCATTCTGCATGAGATACATTCAGAAAAGATGGAATTGAGTGAGCCTTTCCAAGTGGTTGCTGTCATTGAAAAATTATCACCCTCTTGGAAAGATTTCAAAAACTACTTGAAGCATAAGCATAAAGAGATGGGACTTGAGGATTTGATAGTCAAGCTGAGGATCGAATAGGACAATCGTCGTGCTGACAAAAAGTCTGGATCCATAATGGAAGCCAAGGCTAACATAGTGGAAAAAGAGCTAAGAAATAAGAGGAAGCACTTTGGAGAAGGCTCAAGTCAAGGGAACTCCAAGAAGTCCAAGGAGTTTAAGGGAAAGTGTTTCAATTGCAACAAGCAAGGGCATCGAGCTGTGGATTGCCGAAGTAGAAATGGACAAGGCAACCAAAAGAAAAAGGGCAAGACTGAGGTACACATGACTGAAGAAGACAAGCTTTCAACTTATTTGTCAAATATTAATCTTTCTGCAGTCGTGTCTGAAGTTAACTTGGTGGGTAACACCAAGGAATGGTGGGTGGATACTAGAGCTACACGCCACATATGTTCTAAAAGGAAGATGTTTTCTACATATGAAGCAAATGATCAAGGAGAGCCTTTATTCTTGGGAAACTCCTCCACCTCCAAAATTCATGGCCAAGGGAAAATAGTTCTAAAGATGATATCTGGAAAGGAAGTCATTCTCAATAATGTACTTCACAACCCTGAGATCCGGAAGAACTTGGTTTCTAGATCACTACTTAGCAAGAATGGGTTCAAGTTAGTCTTTGAGTCTGATAAGTTTGTACTTACTAAGAATGGAATGTATGTGGGGAAAGGGTACCTTACTGATGGACTCTTCAAGATGAATGTAATGACTGTTGTACACAAAGTTAATAATAATAAACTTAGTTATGCTTATATGCTTGAGTCATCTGATTTATGGCATAGAAGATTAGGGCATGTTAATTATGATAAATTGCGTCAATTAATTAACATGGAACTAATACCTAAGTTTCATATTGATTTCCATAATAAATGTGAAACCTGCGTTGAAACAAAACTAACTAGATCATCATTCTAGTCTATAGAAAGAAGTACAAAACCTCTAGAATTAATTCACAGTGATATTTGTGACTTGAAATTTGTACAAACTAGAGGTGGTATTTTATTACTTTTATTGATGATTGTACAAGATACTGTCAAATATATTTGCTAAGAAGCAAAGATGAGGCCATAGAAATGTTCAAAAATTATAAAAGTGAAGTTTGAGAATCAATTTAGCAGGAAATAAAGATATTAAAAAGTGATAGAGGTCGTGAATATGAATCACCTTTTGGTGAGTTTTGTTCCCAACATGGAATTGTTCACCAAACCACTGCTCCATACTCACCTCAGCAAAATGGTATTGCTGAACGCAAAAACCATACTTTAAAAGAAATTATGAATGCTTTGCTAACAAGTTATGGAGCACCCTAGAATTTGTGGGGGGAAGCTTTACTTTATGCTAATTACATTCTTAACAAATTGCCTCATAAAAAGTTAGACAAGACACCTTATGAGTTATGGAAAGGTCACAAGCCTTCCTATAAATACTTGAAAGTGTGGGGGTGTCTAGCTAAAGTTGCAGTTCCAAACCCTAAAAAGGTTAAGATAGGACCCAAAACTATTGATTGTATCTTTATCGGTTATGCCGTTAATAGTAGTGCATATCGTTTCCTTTTACACAAATCTGATATATTAGATGTACATGTGAATACGATTATTGATCAAGGAATGCATCTTTCTTTGAAAATGCATTTCCTTATAAGGATGCACAAGAAAGAAATACACTTAAAAGAACCTATGATACTGTTAATAGCGATAGCCAAGAAAGTCATCAAGAAAATATAGACCAAGAGATTGCAGAACCAGAACCTGAACATAAACCCAGGCGTAGTAAGAGAGCTAAGACAACCAAATCCTTTGGTCATAAGTTTCTAACTTATTTGTTAGAAAATGAGCCTCAAACTTACAAAGAAGCCATGACTTCTCCTGAAGCTCCTTTCTGGAAAGAGGCTATTAATGTCGAAGTTGAATCCATCATGCAAAATCACACTTGGGAACTTGTGGATCTTCCTCCTGGAAATAAACCATTGGGTTATAAATGGATTTTTAAGAAGAAAATGAAAGCTGATGGACTAATCGACAAATATAAGGCAAGGTTTGTTGTCAAAGGTTATAAGCAAAGAGAAGGATTTGATTACTTTGACACATATTCACCAGTTATGAGAATAACATCAATAAGAATGTTAATTGCAATTGCAGCATTGCATAATCTTGAGATACATCAAATGGATGTGAAAACGGCCTTTCTAAATGGTGATTTACAACCTGAATAGTTTATTGTTCCTGGACAAGAAAAGAAAGTTTGTATGCCTGTTAAGTCTTCGTACGGGTTAAAGCAAGCACCAAAACAATGGCATCTGAAATTTGACAATGCACTAATGTCAAATGGTTTCAAGATCAATGAGTGTGATAAACGTGTTTATACGAAAAGCACTCAAGATGGTTTTGTCATTGTTTGTCTTTATGTTGATGATATGTTAATTATTTGTAGCAATATCAGGATGATTAAATCTACCAAGAAAAGATTTGGTAGTAGCATATGTGATTTTATGGATTAAAATTTCTAGAACATCTGATGGACTAGTTTTATCCCAATCACATTATATTGAGAAAATACTTGAAAAATTTAGCAAGTATGATACTAGTCCAGTAAGAACACCTTATGATCCAAGTCTTAATCTTGTGAAGAATATAGGTCATGGTGTGTCACAAATAGAATATGCTTGTATCATTGGTAGTCTCATGTATCTTTCGAACTGCACAAGGCCTGATATACTCTGTTAATAGATTAAGCAGATATACTAGTAATCCTGGAAGGGATCATTGGAAAGCTATAGTCAGAGTTGTAAGATATTTAAGATACACCAAAAATGTTGGACTATATTATACAAGATATCCAGCTATACTTGAAGGATATAGTGATGCTAATTGGATATCTGATACTAAAGACTCCAATTCTACAATTGGATATGTCTTTACAATTGAAGGTGTGGCTATATCATGGAGATCTACTAAGCAAACTGTATAGCTAGATCTACTATGGAATATGAGTTCATAGCATTAGATAAAGCTGGTGAGGAAGCTAAATGGCTATGTAATTTCTTAGAAGATATTCCATGTTGGCCAAAACCTGTGCCTGCTATATGTATACATTGTGATAGTCAATCTAGAATTGCAAGGGCATAAAACAATATTTACAACGGCAAGTCTCGAGATATACGTCGAAGACACAACACCGTTAAGCAACTTCTCTCCAATGGTATAATTACCATTGACTACATAAAGTCAAGAGATAATTTGGCGGATCCGTTTACTAAAGGTTTGAATGGAGAGCAAGTTTATAGATCATCGAGGGGAATGCGGTTAAAGCCCATGTCAAATGAGTCGTCATAGTGGAAACCCAACCTAATTGACTGGAGATCCCAAGATCTAAGTTCAAAAGGGATAGCTAAATTATGATAACTCAAGAATAACACTACGGAGATATACTCTCCTACCCATATCTTATGATGATATAGTGATGTATGAAATGTGTTTAGGTTAAGCTATGCTTTTAATGATTCTTATACCTTAATTATCCAAGTAAGATAAGAGAGGATATTACCAATAGGAAGTCACCTATATGAGTGTGAAATGTGGCCGTTTCCATGAGAATTTTTAGGGCTAAATTCTCTAAAGCACTTATGAAACCAGGAGTTTCTCAAGGCCAAAACGAGCACAACCGATCGAACTAGATATGTCTAGAAGGGTATTGTGTGAGTACTATTGTCTGGGTTTACACGAACGGCTTAACAGTTCAAGACATCACGTTCACTGATTAGCCAAGTGAATCCGATTGTACTTCACTACGGAAGGTTCAAAGCCAAAAGCTACCTATCCAGATGCTATATTCTTCTAATAGGAACTCTCTCTAAGTCTGCATCATCATTTGCATATTGTTGAAGTTAATTTCCATTCATGTGGGGGATTGTGAGGAATTTAGTATTATTTATTTAATATTAATTTTCTATTTGAATGGAAATTAATAAAATCCATTGGGTTAAAGACATGACCTTTGGGTTATTATAATGGCACATCTTCAATTAGGGGGTGGCAACTCTTCATATGTGTCTGGAACCCAATCAGAGACCTAGGGATGCATCATCTATAAATAGAGCAATCCTCCTGCAATTTTATTCATTCAATTAATTCTATACATACAAACTTCCATATATAGAGAGCATTAGAATTTTCATAAAGAGAGGTTCCTGCATAATTTGGTTCAAAGTTTCTTGTGAATTGCAGTGCTCCTTTCATAAGGAGGGGAGTCGTTGTATCCTGGGAGGCGAATGCTAGTGAACCATAAGCACCAGTGTGGGGCGTAATTCATCTTAAGGTCAGAGTGTCCAACACTTGCCTCGACTCAATTAAGGTTCTTCTAATTCAATTCTCCTTTTGTAAAAATCTGTTTTATGTGTATTTATTTTGTTTATTTTATAGCAATTTAGTACTCATATTTCCAACAAATTTTTTTAAAAGGCCTCGGTGCTATTAGTAATGGGCCTCCATTTGACTTTGGTCAATTGCTCCAGTCAACATGTTGACTTTTGACCGTTGACTTTGACTTTTGATTATCAACCGTTGACTTGTGTCTCCTCATTTCATTTATCCTCATTAGTACCTCTAATCACATTCTTTGGATGTGTAGATCCGTAAGTTCCCTTTAGTAAGGTATGGGTTGACTCAACTCCTCAGAGATGATATACGAATTGAATTCCACAATTTAATTCTTCTTATTAATAAAGGTTAATTGAAACCTTTTAGGACATCCATAAACCATGGTTGTCGCCTAGTAGCAAGTCACGGTTATCCGAGCTAAATGAGACGTTGTGAAAGAACCTATTCAAATTGGAATGACCGTGCAATTAAACCCTTCTCTTATGTCAATACACCTTATTTATATTATTAGATCATGGAATCCAATTGTCAATATCCTAATGTAAATAATTCCTTTTATATGATTACCCTGCTAAGATTTGAAGACTTCTTCTTTCAAGTTTTATCTACTACTCTGCGTAGAGATTTGACCAATCATATCTTGGAGTATACTCTCTCCTTTACTGAGAGTAGAGATTCCTTGTTGTACATTCATTTGCTTCCATGACTTTATTGAGAATCCTGATGAGCACCTTTAAGCTATACCTAATTCAGCATGACCTATAGTGCCCTCAAAGTTTAACAACATAGCCACAAAACATCTATGATGTCTCAGGTCTAAGGATTAGTTTGCACCATTGCAATTTATGAGTTCCAGCTTGACATATGAGTAAACACTTCCATGTTGTAACTTAAGTGTTGGATCGCGTTCAGTGTACTTGTTCTTCTACAAGCACCTACACACATATCGATGTGTCTCTACACTTAATGACTTGAGATCTTGTCATTCTCTATATATAGAGACGATACTGTGTGTACTGGTCTTTACGAAATATTGACGCGCGATCAGTATTCCTACGACTAGGAACATATTCAGGATTTAGGGATGATGAGAAGTCTCCATGTATGCAATCTCATTACATAGCTCTCATATCCACTTGTGTATTCCTTGGACTATGGTTTTTCCACATATTGAAAGATAATATAGGATGATTTAATGTATAAGACAACATTTCTTGCTCATTGATAACATAATATGTCTTTTATCAAAGCTGTCCTTAACTCTAACTATTACATAATTAGTTGGCTTTAAGGACATATTTCTAACAGTCTCCATGTAAGAAGGCATTTTTAAATCAAACTGATGTAGTGGCCAGTCTAGATTTGTTGCTAGAGACAGTAGGGTTCTCATAGATATTGGTTATTGGGGAAAAGTTTTCCTAGTAGTTCACCCAATATCTTTGTGCGTACCCTTTTACCATCAATCTAGCTTTGTATCTTTTAATGGATTCATCTATTTTGAGTTTCACAGTATACATCCACTTGCATCCTACTATCTTTTTTCTGAGAGGTAATGGCACGAGCCCCATGTGGCATTCTTCTGGAGCGCTCCCATTTCTTCATTCATGGCTTCTATCTATTTTGAGTCTTCTAGTGCTTCATTTACACTACTGGGGACAAATATGTCGGCCACCTCCTTCACAAAATGTGCATGTGATTCTGACGATCTTCCTAGTGATATATAATTGTTGATGGGGTACTTCTCTTTGGCTTTAAGATCTACTTCGTACTGTATTCAAGGTTTACCACGATTTGTCCTTTCTTGGAGACGATACATAGGGATGTTTGTATCCTTTATGCTTTCTGAAATCACATCATCATAGTATATTTCATTAATGTTATTAGTTTCAGGGGAATGTGTTACCTGAATGACGTCCTCAATAGGTAATTGGTGTGGTACTAGAGCTGAAGGCATCTCTGGAGTGAGAGAAATCTCATAAAACAGTTTAATTTCGTCATCCTGATTTTGGCAGGGTGGAGTTAACCGGTAGCTTTCTACTAGTGACCGGTCGCTCTGAGACAGAGGCGCTAGCTGTGAAGGAACGAAGGGGAAAATGGGTCACATGAGGTAGGCGACTAGTCGTTTTGAAGTAGATTATCAGTCTACAAGGAAGTCTGGAAGGGTGACCGGTCGAGAATTTTTGGAGGGAGTGATTCTTGATTTTCCTCATGTGCGACTGAAAAATATATATCGTGTTCCCAGAACATGACATCCATTGAGGTATAGACCTTTTGACTAGGATGATGATAACAACGGTATCTTTTCTGATGAGGAGCATAGCCAATGAAAATACACTTTTCAGATCGGGGATCCAATTTGCTTCTTTGATGATCATGTAAGTGTACAAATACAACACAACCGAAAATCTGAGGTTCCAAGTTTGGGCTATGAGGTATTTGGATATGGTGGTAAAGTGCTTGAAGTTGTGTTTGGAAATTTAAGATACTGGAGGAGATCTGATTGATAAGATAAGCTGCAGAGAGGACGACTTCTCCCCAAAATGACCTAGGCATATTAGCATCAAAGAGAAAGGCACGAACTACTTCTAATAGATGTCTATTCTTTCTTTCAGCCACTCCATTTTGTTGGGGAGTGTATGGGCATGAGCGTGGATGTATGATGTCATGATCTTATAAGAACTTGTTAAGATCATGGTTGAGAAATTCTCCGCCGTTATCAGAGTGGAGAACCTGGATTCTGGTATGGAACTGAGTCTCCACCATTTCATGGAACTGTTGAAATTTGGAATCGACTTCCTCTTTAGTTTTGATAAGGAAAACCCAGGTCATACGGGTGCAATCATCTATAAATGTGACAAACCATCGAGCTACCCCTGGAGTGGAAATTTTAGCAAGGCCCCAAACATCAGAATGAACAAGAGAAAACAGAACCAAACTTTTATTTGAACTTAAGGGAAAAGGAACACGATGGCTCTTGGCCAGTTCAAAAATATCACACTTAAAACTTAAAATATCTAAACTAATAAATAAGGATGGAAATAACTTCTATAAATATCCAAACGAAGCATGTCCAAGACGCCTATGCCATAACTAGATGTCGTCAGTTCGTTTCTCAACACTTGCACCCCCAATCTTGAAAGCTTGACCGACTTTGGCTTCACTATTAGACGCAAAGTCCAGGTAGTAGAGTTTGCCCCTCCTCGTACCACAACCAATCATCTTGCTGCAGAGAATGTCTTGAAAAACAAAATGAGTAGGCCAAAAGGTTACAGTGCAATTCAAAGTCGTAGTAATTTGGGCAACAGACAAGAGATTATAGTGCAAGGATGGAACAATCAACACAGAATCCAAATTGAGGGAATTAGAGATAGAGAGTGTGAACCCTCCCCAATCATAGAGGAGGGAATTAGGGACAAATTGCCTCTCATACACCGTTGCTAGTTAGGTACCCCAATTTACACAGACAACAATGCGCATCTCCATGACTTGAGACCATAAGGTATAATTGGTCTCAGTTGGGGTGTAGCAGGTAGGGAACAGGGAGTTGTCACTGTGAATAGCAACGATTTGGGGAGTGGAGGTGGAGGAGCCGTCGACGTGAGGAAACGAGACAACATCCACGGCAACGGAATAATTTGAGGGCAAGATAAAGGGATGTGTTTAGGGAATTTGATTTGATAAGAGGATTTGATATGAGAGTGGGAGATTTGCATGTGAGAAATTTGGATTTTAGGAATTTAGATTTGAGGAATTTGATTTAGGGTTTGTGTTTGAATATGAGGAATTTGATATAAGGGTTTAGAGACCAGTTAGGATCGATTGCTTTGATACCATGCTAAAATGTGAATATGCTTTGAATACTTTAGGTTAATTGTATTCTTCTCCATAAGGAGGTATATTGTACAAGGAAATAGATACAGTAATCAATTAGGAATATATATCCTAATTATACAATGACATGTCAACTATATAAAATAAGAAAGTAAATCCTTTAATTAATCAAGGAAATAAATCTCCTTGATTAATTAGGAAGGCTTACGTCAACACATGTCAATTTGGTAACTAGGAAGTATGTTAACAGTTTTAGGATCTTAAATTACATTTAATTATCTAAAAATTATTATATTTAAATATTTAAATAATTATTTTTTAGTTCGACACAGCATCAAACATAGTTTTTCACTATTTTGCAATCTAGCTTCTTAGTCTGGTGCAATATTAGTACTTAATCCAGCTTATGCGCCACTTTGATCTAATCCAAAACAGTCCCATAATTTAATGATCAGTCCACGACAATTCGCTATACCAAACAATCCCTGAAAGTGAAATGACACTTATGCCTTTAGAATATAATTGCAAAAACCTCGACGATACAAGGCAAAACTTTATTTAATTAAGCAGAACTAATACAATGAGGGATACGTAACCTAAGCCCGATTAATAAATGTTCCAAAAGGGCATCTTGCACAAACGCAGGGAGCACCTCTGACCAAGACAAACCATCATTTATGTGCAAAGCATATTGTGCTACCCTATGAGCAGCTTCATTTGCTTCTCGAAAAGTATGTATGAACTTGTTTGGTGGAAATCCTTTTAGCAAAGCCTTAACATCCTCCACAATGCAACCAATAAGAGAGTAATCAGTCGTTGAGGAGCAGACATGTTGAACCAAAGTGAAGAAAAAGAGAGTATAAAAGACAACATAAATTTACGCACTTGATTTACATACTTCTTTATACATGCTCTTAACACATATGACATTCAAGTAAAAAGGTGTTTCTATGCTTTCGTATGCTTTATTGTGGGTGTAGTTTGTTATATATGTTGGTCGCTTCCACGTTGCTCTTCTTCAAACATTGTATCATGACTCATCTTCATGAGTACCATAACTGTACACCTGTACACTAACAAAAGAATCCAAGAATTAGATTATTTCTCGGCACATCGGTATTCTCATCCGTCAATGCTCAGCCTACGGCCACATGTCTATCTATGCATTGAATCTATGCCACCTCTCTGCCAAATCATGCTGCTTCTTCTATGAACAACAATTGTTGTAAAAAAATAAATTTTTCTAAAAAAATATATCTTTAAAACTGCATGTTCGACAGCAGCCCCTTTCTCCCTCACGATCCAATCTCCCCAATGACGCAGTGGCACTCTTCCTTTAGGGACCTTTTTTTCAATTAACGGTTAAAATTCCAACTTGAAATACCTTTAAATACATCTATATAATATATATATATATATATATATAGTAAAAGGTAGAGAATAGTGAAACATTCAAAATACTAGAAAATGCAAGGTTAATTCAAACATTAAAAAATAAAATTATTAATTAAATGAGGATAATATGGTAAATTCACATTTTTATATTAAAAAAATTAAAATTAAAATTAAAAACAAAATCAGAAAATATGTCCTACTTTTATAGAACATAACTACCCATGCTATCTTTTCTTAATTTTAAAAATAAAATAAAAAGAAAAAAGAAAATCAATTGGCACATGCGTGAGCGTGTGCGAATGGGCTAGTCTATATATAAAGTAAAAGACAGAGAATGGTGAAACATTTAAAATACCAAAAAATGCCTTTAGTTAATTCAAACATTAAGAATTTAAATTATTAATTACATGAGGATAATATAGCAAATTCATACTTTTTATATTAAAAAAATTAAAATTAAAAGAAAAATTCAAATAATAAATTCTATTTTTATGGAATACAACTACCCCCTTTTTTTTTTACAATAAATTAAATTTTAAAAAAAAAAATATTTCCCAAACACAGAAGTACGTGCGAAGAGACTAGTACAATTTTTTTTAAAAAAAGAGTAAATTTAAGATTGAAAATCCTAAACATTCACGGCAATATGGTATCTATCACATTAGAATAGGTCGGTGAGCCGCTACATAACTGCAAGAATAAAAGTTTTGTTATTGGGGTTGTACTTTTGTCTTTTTGTTTTGGTGTATTTCATGTCTGCTACACGAACAGTCTGGAACTTACAGGAACCATCTACCAACATTCATACAACATGAAATGTTAAAAAGAATTTGTGAAACTGAAGGAATTGGAAAAATTATATATGGAAGACTAAACCGTAAGGTGTCATCAAGGTATATAAAGACGTTAATTTCGAGGATAGTCGATGTAAATATCTCTTCTAGTAATTAACCACTGTCTCTCTTCCACATTTGGTTGTAAAGAAAGTATTCTAAGCACTTTCTTCTAGAAACATTGGTCGGTTCTTACATGAGGCCAAACAAAGAAGATGTTTGAACTTCTTTTGTGTGATTGGCCTCGTATGAATCTTTATCATAAAAGTTGGGCATAAACTTTTAGGGCAATGCTAGGTTTACCATATTTTTATACCACATTGCGTATCACCTCTCTAATAGAGATTGATCCCATTGTATTGGTGGGCTCCATCTCTATTAGAGATGTGGTATACAATATAGTATAAAAATGTGGTAAACCTAGCATTGCCCTAAAAGTTTATGCCACGTACTTCCCTTGACTTGAGTATGCACTGACACGAAGACTCCACGCGTCCCTTCCAACTTCTATGATGCTAAATATACACACACACATAGAGCTAGCCATAACCAAACCTATCAGCCTATAATCAAACAACCGAAAGAAAAGAGCCAAAGAGAGAGATGGTTTACTCTGAGCACAAAAGCATTACTGTTCTTATGCTTCCATGGCTAGCTCACGGCCACATTTCTCCCTTCCTAGAGCTTGCCAAGAAGCTTACCTCTAAGAGAAATTTTCACATCTTTATTTGTTCCACGCCTGTCAATCTCACCTCCATCAAGCCAAAACTCTCTCCAAAATACTCTCATTGCATTGAATTTGTGGAACTTCATCTTCCACATGAAGAGTTGCCTGAACTGCCACCTCATTACCACACCACCAATGGCCTCCCTCCTCATCTCATGTCCACTCTCAAAAGGGCCTTCGACATGTCCAGCAATAACTTCTCCAACATCCTCACAACCCTAAAGCCAGATTTGGTCATATATGATTTTATTCCACCATGGGCACCCTCTCTAGCTTCGTTGCAAAATATTCCATCGGTCCGGTTCGTCACCACCAGTGCTGCCTTGAGCTCACTTCGTGTTCACCATCTCAAGAACCCTCGTGTCAATTTTCCTTTTCCTTCGATCTATCTTCGGGATTACGAAGCTAAAAAGTTCAACAATCTGTTAGAACCTTCGTCAAATGACATCAACGACGGAGACCGCGTTCAAAAATGCAGTGCTCGATCATGCAACGTCATTTTGGTGAAGACATCTAGAGAGATTGAAGCAAAATATGTTGATTATCTCTCTGGTTTAATGGGGAAGAAGATCGTGCCAGTTGGTCCGCTTGTTCAAGAGCCAATGGATCTAAAAGTTGATGAGGAAACATGGATCATGAAATGGCTGAACAAAAGGGAAAGGTCTTCGGTTGTTTATGTTTGCTTTGGGAGTGAGTACTTTTTGTCCAGGGAGCAAATCGAAGAGCTAGCTCATGGGTTAGAGCTTAGCAAAGTTAGCTTTATTTGGGTTATAAGATTTCCAAAGGAAGAGAAAGGTAAAAGGGTTGAAGAGGTGTTTCCAGAAGGGTTTTTAGAGAGGGTAGGGGAGAAGGGAATTATAGTGGAGGGTTGGGCTCCGCAGGCAAACATATTGAAGCATTCAAGTGTTGGTGGGTTTGTGAGTCACTGTGGATGGAGCTCAGTATTGGAGAGCATCAAGTTTGGTGTTCCAATTATAGCCATGCCTATGCATCTTGACCAGCCAATTAACGCTAGATTAGTAGAGGAGTTGGGTGTTGGTGTGGAGGTTAAAAGAACAGGAGAAGGAATTTTACAAAGAGAAGAGGTGGCGAAGGTGATCAGAAAGGTGGTTGTGGAGAAAATTGGAGAGGGCGTGAGAAAAAAGGCATTGGAATTAAGAGAGAACATGAAAAACAAAGATGGAGAGGTAGATGGGGTCGTGGAGGAATTGATGCAATTTGTAGGAGAAGGGAAACAAATATCTACTCTTAAGTGAAAAGGAGTTGAGACTTTAATAATCATTTTAATGATTTTGAATGCTAATCGTATCTGTTGGCCGATCATGTGAATGTTGGATTTGACTTCTCTACGTTTTAGTGTCTTTTTAGCATTCAGTACTCATTTTCTAATGATTTTGAATAATGCTCATATCAGACTTTTTTTTTTTTTTTTTTTTTTTTTTTTTTTTTTTTGTTATAAATAGTATCTGTTCATTGCTGTCCTTTAGGCGGTTGTACTCTTGTATTGAATTCTGAATTGGCATTTTTATCAACATTGAAACACCACAAGCCCTTAATACACAAAATGTAACACCCCGACTCCCAAATTTATCCCATGTTTTAATTTATTTAAGTGGAATTGAGAAATTACCCGTGGGATAGGGGTATTTTAGTCATTTTCTTACCCGGAAGGAATTTGAGAATTCCGGTTGTACCGT